ACTTAAAGATTCGCGGAGGTGGCGAGGACACAAAGGAATCCTTTGTCTCCGCTCTTGGACCGAAGAGGAGAGATCCTCGGCCGGGGCCGCGCGAAAACGTGTCCAATACGCATTTATCAGCCTCCTGATAAATGTATTAATAGCCCTCCTCCCGTGACGTTTTCTTCCCCTGCCCCGAGGAAAGAGGAAAATCCACGCGAGAGGATCGCGAAATGGAAGTTTCGAGGTTAGGAAAGGCTGGCGAATCGACGGATCCATCAATCGAATCCCCGAAACCGCGAGGCTCCGATTGCCGTTACGTCGGACCGAGCGGGACGAATTCTGCGGTCAGCCCGCGACCGGCCGCCCGGAAGTCCTGTTTTACCGACCGCGCTTGGGAAATTGCAGTTCCCGACTGGATTCGGTAACCGGCACGGGAAAGTACCCGAGCCTTCGGCAAAAACTTCGCTCGGACCGAAATAGCTGCATTCGCTGCGAAATGGGTCATACGGTGGCTTGGATGGTCCGGCGTAATTGAATGCGGCAAGTGACGGGCAATGTAAGATGTAAGATCTCCGACCGAGTCGGATTACCCGATCCGACAAATAATCGATCCCCCCTCCCGCGTCGCATTTCATTCCCCCCCTCTCAACGTGGGGTTAGAAACACAAAAAGAGAAAAAAAAAAACACTCCACCCTCCCGAAATTACGTCGATAAAAAAAAATTACACAGTTCCAACATTCCCCCCCTACTCCGGATTTCATGCTATCGACTTTCACATGCGAAACTGACAGTTTCGTGTAAGAGCTATCAAAGGTCAATGGACGCGACTTGGCAACAATGGGAAATTTTTTTCGGGGGGGAAAAATATTCCTATTAATTTTATTTCGACCGAATTCCTTGCCGGGTCGAAGTCGCGTTATCGAGGAGAAGCATCGATAACGTGACGTATACGAATAAGGAAATTAGAATCGCCACGCGGAGGGATATCCTCGGATGACCGATACCGGCTGCGCCGGATATCCGGTCCGCGGCAGACTTCTATATCCGGTCGTTGTCGAGTCGATACTTCGCTTTCATCTCGAGCCGTGTCGCAGTCAGAAATAGAACCCGCCGCGGCGCGAAGTTACACTCGGCCCGATCGAATTAGAAACTTGGCTTGGGATTTCTTTCATTCTACCGTAAACGCGCCTACCAGCCCACAGCCTACGACCTGCGAGCAAGCGTTCTCGATTATCGAGCTATTCCGCCTGGCAACCGGAGTCTAGACGTGGCCGCCCTTCCTTACCGACCGGCCCAGAAAATTCGCAATTTATACCCCCTACTCGCTCCCTCCACCGACGGGCCGCTAAATCTCTCTCCGTCCCTCGGAATATAAATTTCTCCCACATTACACCGGTCAAAGGCGAACGAGACTCCTTAAAACGCGATTCCATCTACATCGAAATTCCCCGCAACAAAATATTTCCTTCGCTGTTAACCTCCGAATATTGATCGGATGCAGAAAAAATATTTCCACTCCCGGATTTCGGAAACATGTCATTAAGGGTGGTCCAAGCCGTCAGTTTCGTCCTTAAAAAATGCAAGAAAAGTGTTTCGCCCCACCCTGTACCGTTGAATCGGAGAAAGTGAGGTTAGACTCGCTTCGGATGGCCCGCCGGAAACACGGGGAGGTACAATACGGGAAATTAAAAAACGAGGTGGAAAGGCCACCTACGCCTCGGAGGAGCGCCCGGTGAAATTGCAGCACTATTTTCGTCCCGGGAAAAAATCCGGACGACCTTGGACGGCTTCGGTGACCTTTTGCGTCACCGTCGCCGCTTCTCTTCGAGGGGAGACCTCGGAGATCGTAAAGACGCCCGAAGGACGGAACTTCGGGATTCTCTCAACGCGGCGAACCTCTCGATCGATAGGGACCTAGGGTTTAAAAACCGGGCAAATGGCTTGAACTAGGTACCAATTGTTATCAACCGTTCCTTACACCATTTCCGTCATTTCCATACCTCCGTCCGCAATCGACGTGCGAGCGATCCGCCGGGGTGCGCCACGCCCCACTGCAGGTATTTCGACGAGGATTAAAATTTAAACGGCGCCCTTTTCCTAAACGTTAAGACGATACGAAAGGGCCATTCTATACACATAAAACATTAAAATATTTATAAAACTATTCTTCAAACAGGGTGCACCGAATTACCTCAAAACCTTAACACGTGATTATGGCGGCCGTAAAGAAGAACGCGATGCTCGTGAAATTTAATTTAAAAAAAAAACAGAAGAAATCTCACGAGTATCGGGTCCTTCCTTAGAGCTTACGCAATCACGTGTTAACGTTGCAAATGACTCGGTGCACCCATTTTGAAGAAAAGTTGTATAAATATTTTGACGTTCTCATATATAGGATGACCCTTTCGTATCACCTTAAACGCGTCTTAGGTATCAATAAAGACTCGAGATGATTAATAAAAAAAATTTAATTAAAAAAAGAGAAGAAATCTCACGAGTATCGGGGTCTTCCTTAGAGCTTACGCAATCACGTGTTAACGTTGCAAATGATTCGGTGCACCCATTTTGAAGAAAATTTTTATAAATATTTTGACGTTCTCATATATAGGATGACCCTTTCGTATCACCTTAAACGCGTCTTAGGTATCAATAAAGACTCGAGATGATTAATAAAAAAAATTTAATTAAAAAAAGAGAAGAAATCTCACGAGTATCGGGGTCTTCCTTAGAGCTTACGCAATCACGTGTTAACGTTGCAAATGATTCGGTGCACCCATTTTGAAGAAAATTTTTATAAATATTTTGACGTTCTTATATATAGGATGACCCTTTCGTATCACCTTAATCGCATCTTAGGTATCAATAAAGACTCGAGATGAAAGTCGAGACAATCTCCAGGTGCGAGGGAGTATTTCGCGCCCGCGCGGAATTTCGGAAAACGCGCGGCACACCCGCTTCCTCCATTCGGTTCTGCTCCTTTCGCGAAAGCGAAGGGAGAAACCAAGCAAAAGCCTCTTCCTCGCCCATTGTCCGTCGAACCGGTGGAACCGGTGCGACCGATTAACCTCCGGTTCTGGTACCGGGTACAGTTGGCCCCGTTAATGCCTTTCCATCGATTTAACCGCGTACCGTCCGGCATGCCCAAATGAGAGACCCATTAAGGTGAAGTGAAACACGTCGAGGAACTTGATCGACGTCGATAAGTAAGATTTTTCTAAATGCCTACGTTGCCGACGTTCGTTTTTATATCGACAGCTGTGTCGAATTATATTAGGTATTGTCCCAAATGGCATACTCCCCCTGTCGTTTTCGTACAATAATGATAAAGAAAGCGAAGTAAAACTCCAGAAATCCTCTGGATTCATGCTTTCTGGGGCCCTTATTGATTGCAGAGGGACCCCCTGCGCCATCTGTGATTTACAGGTCAATTAAATTTTCACTCCGAGACCTCGTATTACCATCATTTTAGCATAGAAGCGCATACAACACTTTGTTGTACAAACAACACAAAATTGTCTTGGCCCTTTCGATTCTCATATCAGAGCCTTCGATAATTGTATATTGATCGAAATATGAGAGCTCGACGCCATTTTGGTTCAGGTCTGGACTGAGTTAAAACATTTTTTTGAAAAATCCAAATTTTCAATGTGTCAGGACAATTCTTAGATGATCAGGATTGGTGTGTCAAAGTTTCGGGCAGTTTGGTCTAATACCCTTAAAAAAAAGTGTTGTATTCGAATCGACTGATTTGAAGGGTATTTCACTTCACCTTAAGGTCGCGATACCTGTCGAAGGATCGGGATTTAATATTTGCCGGCTGTCGATTAATCACCAGCGAGACTCCCCTCTTACCTAAGTTCCGGGGCCATTTTCCTAAGACGCGAATTTATTCTATAGCCTTCTCTCGCGGATGCCCGGAATCGCTTCAACGAGGCTCCGACCTTTATGGATCGTTAGCCTTACTTGGATATCGGATTCCGTTGATTTGCAGATTCCTGCAATTCCCCCGGCTGGCCTGGAAAGCCATTAAGCAGCTTAAGAAACCATTAAGGCGATCACGCTCCAAGGGACCTCGAGATCGAGAAGCGAGCCCAGTTTTGCTACCGGCTGTACGGCGTATCGCGTTAAATTGCGATTCTCGTGATTAATCGCCCTCTATTGAGCGGCGATGCAAGCTGCAAGCTGCAAAACCCACCCTGGGTTTTTTCCCTCGATAGCTGCGGGGCCCGTATCGCTCCTTGTGCACCCTCTACGTATCATAATTACCCCGAAGAGGACCAGCCATATTGATAAATGCAAACCGGGGATTATTATACGGGCAACTTGACGGGGATTTCTTTTCGGATCGGCTTAATGATCATCGGAGAACGCGGGGACCTATAAGGGAAATTTCCTTCCCCTCGAGTACTTGTAGGATCGAGTTGCTTCCCTCTGCTGGAATTCTTATAAAATATACGTTAATCTATCGAAACACACGCTAAGGACCTGTAGATTCGAGTAGCTTGAATTTCCAAGGTTAGTTAAGAGGATACGAGTCCACATTCGCGGCCGGCCGAAACTGGCAGTGGCCGGTACGAAATCTTTCGCGACTTCGTTTCTAACCACTCCGGATTAATCGTGTGTGTAAAGGCACAGACTACGTACACATAGATTCCACGCTCCGCCTTGATTCTCAAAAAGTTTCCGGCAATGGCTGCAAGGAAAACCGGGGCGCCACTGCCTAGCCCTTCCGTATAATTCCCGTTTCCACCGCAAGATGGCGCCGCGCCCCTCTCCGATTTTACCAACCGTGAATTGAAAAGCCTAAGAAAGTAATTGATATTCCTCTCGCGAGATGTCACCTCGCTCTATTTTCTTTATCGACCGACACCCCGTCAAAAGCGATTTTGAAGAGAAAATCAAAAAGAGGATCCTTCCGAAGAACCGAACGTTTTGTTTCAGGCAGATATAAAAATTCCGTGAAAAAGAGAGAAAAAAAAAATAATAACGCGTTTCGCTCGAAGGGACACCCAGCCGATTTTAATTAAAAAAGTATCACTTTATTTCAAGTTTGTCGATGATGCGCCATTACAAAAAGGAACGGTAGGACATGGGGGGGTAAAGGAAAGAGAGAAAAGAAAGGAATTTCAGCCACTGCGAATGAGAATTCTCGCGAACCAGCGAATCGCTTCGTATCGTCTGCGAGAAACGGACCGTCGAAAGATGTCCGCGCTGCAAACACGATCGAATCCGGCCCCAGTCTCGTCATAACTTACATCCGACCCTAATCTACGAGCTTACGAGCTAGAGCCGCTCTCTTAATCCATAGATCGACAAGTCTCTGTACAATAACTCCCGGCGAAAGGCCGCGCTCCCTCGCCTCTTTTATAAAGTATAAAGTCTCTGTACAAAGCGCGTCACCGTGTTCAGGATCGGCGACGGCAGAGCCCGAGGAGTCCCTCGTACAATTTATTCCCTCCTCAATTTTTCCTTCTTCTATTCGACACCCCCTTAATTATTCACATTTCACTTATCCAACAACCGTCGACTTTGTGAGCAAAATGGAAACCCCGGGATTTCCGATTCCGAGAAAAATTAAAAAAAAAAAATGAAAAAGAATGAAAAACTAGGGAACGGAATACATAAAAGTATGTATACGGTGCGTATGTATAAATACATACATCTGGCCAAGAGGTTCACGAGTCGATTAGTCATTTATACGTTCATCGCAATGCCCCACAGAAAACCATCCTCAGCCTTGTATCTCAATTTTTTTTTTCAACAGACATATCCCCGTTAACACATTAAATCCCCCATCGATAGTAAATCACTGTTCGGACTAGGTCAACGCGATCGGCTACCTCGAACATTACGTGAGAAAAAAGAAGAAAAAAAATTAAACATTTCGCTCCATAAGCAAAGCCTTGGAACCCGATTCTCCAGTTCACACGACCAACATTCGTATACGACTTTCAAACGTTTACCAACGACGCGACTTCGCAAGAATGAGAAATTTTTCACGCGCAAAAAAAAAATTCTTATGAGCTGGAGAATCGGATCCCTGATACAGTTAGATCAAATCGTACCGTTCGTCAAGAACTAGAACCCCGGCTCCACCATAAAATGCGGACGAAACGCGGCGATCATCTCGCCGAGCAGGGTAAAATGCGGTCATAGTTAGAATCTAGAGTTCTGTAAGATTGAACAATGTTCAACGCAAGTGTATCGAAGGACTGAATCCCACGGGGAAAAAAAAAAAATAATAAACCGGCTCTGAGCGTCATAGCTTCATCCCGGGTGGCTTTCGACAAGGCAGCAGGCGCGATTAAGCAGGCTGAAATCACACAGGATGAATTTCACATGGCAGCCCGTACAGGTGTACCGGCCACGCACGATTCCCGAATTAATCGTAGACTGATAAAGGAAGGAAACGCCGTCCTCGCGCTCCTGACCGGCTCCCGGTTATGCACAAATCGAATAATTGCAATCGACATCGCCATGGCCCTCGAGGGAGAGACTCTCGAAGCACCTCGCCGAGGCTTCGGCCTCCCCTTAATTCGTCTAATTTCTGAATCCCCTTCGTTTCCTCGATCTTGTCAACGAAACAGCCGTGCGAAGTCTCGCAATGCGTGCGTGACGATCTTCGACGTTTCGGCGCTGCTAGAAAGAAAATCCTAAGTATTACTTAAATTACGAGAAACTAGGCAGGTAGCGGTAGACGTAATGGAGATATAAGATCACGTACCGTAGAACCGTACTATGGAATTCCAGCAGTTGTTCCGGCGTCGCCGTTGGCAAACCCCCTGCGTTCTGGGTAGGCATGGCCTTTATCGCCTCCTCGAGCCACTTGGACAGGAGCTTGAAGACGAGGGAATTAATTTCTGGGTCTGCCATTTACGCTCTAAAACGGATTCCTCCTGGCGATGCTTACCTCCTTGTCGAACAAAGTCATCTCGATGACGACGTCCGCCACGTCGGACAGCATGTACGTGTGTAACGAAAAAACCGAGGCATGGAGCAACCTCGCAACCAGGGTCTGTCCCTTCTCCCTCATTATGTTTTGTACCAGTTGTCTCCTTATCGTAAAATCCGATCGGTTCTACGAGACGGGGAAATGGAATTAGATAATCATTCCAATCCATACAAACGTTCCAATCTAGGAAGAGAAGTTAAACTTACATCGTGATTTCGGCCGCTGTGGACCAGGTCGTAAAAGAACTTCATCACGGACGCGTTGGCGTCCCTGTGGTCTAAACTGCAGGCCAGCAAAGCGCAATCGACTATACTGCTCAGCGCTCCAGAGTGCAGGAAAGCGACCGGTGATCTTTGCAAAAATCTGCAGGGGGAAAAAAATAAAAATTATCAGAGTTGAGATTTTTAGGCTAGCGAAGTGTAATTTAAGCTCGACGAGTACCTAGCGCACAGGCGAAAGAGGTCGTCGACCGTGTCGGGATGGTTCTTCAGTCCGTCAGGATTCTGAAGCAAGGCAAATGCAGGTCCGATAAAGGCTTCCAGCATTCCCAGCAAACCCGAGACGCATTCCATGTCGCTTGCGTACTCGTCGACCAACACCGAGCCGAGGTACAGGAAGCAGCTGTGCTGGTGTGCCGCGTATAATTCTACTATCTGAAAAATAGACAACCTCGTAGAGACAACTACCCAGAAAAAAAAAAACGTATATTACTTGATTTCAATAAGCCATCGTCATAACTACCTGTTTAACGAGGGGTTCAAGAAGGTGAGCCGAATGTTTCCCAACACACCGAACGGCAAACCTGAGACAACGGCAGCATCTCTCCATCAACCTTGCATCACGCTGATACGTTGTGCAGGTCTTCGACAATACCGGCCACATCTACAAAACAAAATTTGAATATTGATTAAAATTCCCTTGCGCTATTTTTGATACTTCTTGTCTAGGTATAATACCCACTTCCGTAATAACACTTTGGCAAGGATGAGGTTCGTTCGATTCCTCTTTGCTAGGATTCGTGTGCCTGAAAATCGCGGCAAGTCTGTCGAGCCATATCACAGGGTCGCTTTGGTTTCCTCGAGATTCCAGGAGCTCGCAGAGTGGCCTCGCCTGGAACCAGCAGAGCTCCTTCATCGCTGGCCCGATCTCCTCCCGAGGTAACCTGGCCAGGATGATCGAGACACCTTCCAAGTAAATTGACCAGCGTTAGACATTTTGTGCGATTGTTCTTGAAAATTTCGTTAAAATTAGGATATGAAAGGGCACCTCTCAACAGTCCAATTGCTGCATCGTTGCTGATGCCAAAACTGTCCAGGGATCGAGCAATCTGCAGGAGTCCCGGGAAATGGGCAGCCATGTGCTGCGAACAAGCAGCACAGATGCTTTGCAGCGCACTCGAGGCAGCGTTTCCTAGTCCTCTTTGATTCAGGCACGCCAACAGGAAGTTTAATACCGGCTCTAGAACCGATTAAGAGAACCGTTAAGGAAGAATCACGCTGTGAATACGTATCATTTTTTAAATTCATTATAATATTGAAACTAAGTCTTACCTAATGATTGGGGATGCCTTTCAATCCACTCGCAGAGCTCACCGAGTAGAAGAATGCTGGTATGTCGAACTGCGATGTGTGTGCCCTCCGGCAGGTTTAAAATTGCTTCGACTACTTTTGGCACCACATCGTTCTCTTCGCTGCAAGGAAAAATCCTATGTAGTAGTCTTGTCGTAGGAGAATTCTGAATAAAAATATGAATTACACATACGGTAGGATATTCTTAGCGACAGCTTGCATTACGAAGAGAGCTGCCTCCGTTGAGTCCCATGTAGGTGGATGTGCAGGCTGTCCTTGCGGTCCAGGACCTCCAGTCAAATTTGAAAACATTTGTCGGAAGCAGTGACTGCTGCTGACCACGAATACCACATCCTTTATCAATTCCGAGACTTTCATTCGAAATTCAGCAAACTCTTCGCCACCTCCTCCTTCCTCGACTAGACCTAACTGTTAGATCGAGGAAGTTGGATAAAAATTAAATGGATCTTGATACATTACCGTAATACTCGAGAAATATGCCGAAAGAGTAATAATAATTTTATTTTATAGTACTCACATGATCCGGTTCCATTTGGCAGTGCCTACAAAGTGCACCTATAAGCCTTTCAATGTGTGGTTTGAAAACTGAATTGAGTTCGTCGTTGTTTCGCTGGTAAAGTACCTCCGACAAGCGATACCACAGATTGAACGTTATCTCCGCGACCTGAAAATGGAGACAGAAAAATTACTATGTATTGAATAAAATTGTAATACCTGCAAAAAGGCTCAAAGTGCCTTACCTCGTAATCGTGGTGGCCGACACACGTTAGAACTAAATCTAAGATTTTAATAGCGTAATGTTGCTTTCCTTCCACACATCCATCCACCATGGTTCTTAGAAACGTCTCTGCGAGTTCGGTAAATATCCGACAATAATTTGCAGACCTGTAACAGCAATTGCCATTCCTTCCGGTTATGGAATGTTACATTTTATGGCTAATTAGAACAAAAGTAATTCGCCATCGATGAATAATTTGATTTTCAATGATGGTAAATTATAATAAAAATGGAGTATCAAGGATTACTTTTCCATATCTTCGTGTGCAACCGACAGGTGGTAGGGTTGTTCCAGAGCCATGACACATGTAAAGAGGCACAATTGTAGATGTTGCAAATGTGGAAGGATATGGTCGCTGTTATTTTGACTGTGGTCATTTATATTGACATCTTCCAAGACTTGCAGAATCACGCAAACACAGTCTGTAGCAGCCTCATGAATTTGTGAGCCAGCCATGTGATTACCCAGTACCTGAATGGTGTAAACATTAGGTAAATCACAGGTTATATAAGCCAAAATTAAATACCGTTTAATGACATTGTCATACCTGAAAGGCATAAGCCACTATGTCACTGTTCGGCAGTGGAACTGCAGGAACTCCTATCCAACTGGTAAAGCAGCGAAGTATCCGAACTATTATTTGCACATTGTCTCCACTATTCTTTAAACACATTTTCTGCAAAAGGGAAATTAAAATATGATACGAAATTTTCCAAAAGGAGAACTAGAAGGAATATTCATGGAACAATATTCCTGTACCACAACTGAATAATTTTGTATGTACCAGAAACTCAGTGACTGTGTCCGCACTATCAGCGAGATCCATCATAATATGTTGCCGTCGATTGGCACCTAACCTAATAATAAAAACCTGTTTACATCACTTGGAAGAAAGCGAACAGTGCAAGTAAAATGTAAATAGTAACTATAATATGATAAAGGTAATATAATTTCATTTTATAGTTTAAGATGAAAACAAGGACAAACCTGAGTGATGGGGAATTTACTTCTTCGGGCAATACTCTCATAACTTCGAGTAGCGGCCATAGACTAGAACTGATTCCTCCAAATCTGTTTATTAAATCTACTACTGGCTTTTGCCAAGATGACATTTGTAGGCCCAAATCTGCTAGTGCCAAGCATAGCTAAAGGATGCAAAGAAGGTATAAAATATTATAAATTGTAATACTTGCAAAAAATTATGAATGCTTTTTTTATCATGCTTGATTACATAATGACGCTCAAATACAGATGCAGAGAATATGAATTCCCAGGACCGTTACGTCACCACAATAGATAAATTTCGTATAAATCTACGTATAAGCACTATAAAATAAAGACCTGCGTAACGATGACACCATTGGTATTTTCATTAATCTGGGATAAGTGATCCATTAAGGAATCTCTTAAAGACGTGTGAGCTTCAACAGGTAATTCATGGAAAGACATCTGGATTTTCGTTCTCATTGTTTGAGCAGCAAAATAACAAGATTCCAAATCCCTCTTGTGTTGGAGCATTTCATCCGCCACTTTCCAAGCGAAAACCTACAATAAAAATAGAAATTTCACTGTGTCCTCTGTGAACCTATATCGCATTCTTTAAAACACAAATATTCCTCCATCAGAACCGTTGGAACAACGAAACATATTTTCACAGTCAAATAAAGTTAAAAATGAAAATAACACTTTGAAAATAAAGGTTAAAGTTCTTTTAAGCATAAGGCTTAATAGTCGAATAAAATTGCATTAGCTTCCATGAGAAAATATGTATATTTGGAAGAAATAAATAACAAGTAAATGCCACTGACATCAATAACGAAACTCTCATAATATATTCTTGGATATTTAATCGTAAGGTAGTGAAAATTCTATAGAAACTCAGAAAAGTACAACACAAAGTAAGGTTATGAAACAACACGAGAGGCACGCTCTACGGCATTACGCGTAAAAATTAAGAGCGATGCCCTTGGCATATAAATAGAGTGGAATCCAAATCCAACAACACTGAAAAATGTCGAGAATGTTAGACGTGGGCGGTTGGATAAATAATTAAAGTACAATAAGGATATAAGGTGCAACTCACCGAACCTTGGAGTTCTCCTAGCCATAGGGACGCTTTTTCCTTTTCGGATGTGTCAGGATTGTTGTAGAGAGAATAGACGGCCTGGTAGACGGTCTCGAGGTCCGGCGGCGACTCCATGCTTTTTGGAATTTTTCGTTTCGAACGGTCTCAACTGCGCGTCTCCATGCGTTGGAATATTTCCGACAAGAAACCGCGATAAAACTCACTCGATGTCGGCCACAGAACTCCTCGTCGCTGCTGGCTCGTGACTGGACGGCTGCACTGCGCAAGTGCGTGGTTCATGAACTAAGATGTTTTCTAGATCTTCCACTAGAAGTCAAATATTGATACTAAGAAATACTTACAATTCAATGGCGTTAAAGTCAAGAGATGTTTATGGGGATATTTCCCTAGTTTTTGCTATAGACTGGAAAGAAGATAAGAGACTTGTATTACTCGCACGCACACAATGAGTAGCAGCACCTTACTCAGGCATAAAGTAGGGACCGTAGCTACTCTTATCATCTTTTGGTTTAGTGCTATAAACAGCTATAAAAGCAAAATAGAAGTCCTGTAATTCAAGTCGCTGGAGTTTTGTGATAGTTATTTTATAAGTAATACAATTATGGATGTAGATTTATTAAGACCAGGAACCGTTCCGATTTCCCCGGATACCATCCTGTGGTTTGAATTTCTACTGAATCCTTCGTTGCTTCAAAAACATCTGTCGAAACCTTCGCCGGGTTCGTAAAACTTAACCTCTACTATTCAAAATATTTAATTTCATTATTATTTCTTTTATTAATATCTTTGCAGATCCACCTGCTACAGATTTGATTATCAAATTTATGACGATTAATTGTGACCAGAAAGACTACGATGTCAAACTGCAGGATGGAGACTTGAATGACGTGAAACCTAACGTTATTAGCAAGTGGTCGCATAAGGGTCTGGCATTAAAGATTCTTTCCTTAAAAGTGGCTGCATACTTGAATTGGGATTTAGATATTTTGGAGAAAAGATTGCCATTGCAGATGCAGTTGACACTGTTGCAGGATCTTTTTTTTATTACAACGGACACTATTGTCGAAGTACCTGCTGTACCTGAGTATTCCCTTCGTTCGGTCTCAGATGAACTTTTATTCACGATTGTCCTTTATCATAGATGGCATCTGAGAGCAATTGTACACAGGGCCTTATATAATAAGCAATCGAAGCAGCATTTTCACCATACGTAAGTTTTTGATAACTTGCATGAAATTTTATTCAGATGATAGAAGCCGGTACAGCCACCGATCATTCATGTTATATATTTTCGATTAGCCCTGGCCTTCAAGAATCCATTTATGTACCAGTTGGATTTATTGACGATGTCACACGGAAATTAGAGGCTAACGTTTCCAATAGCATACGAGTGCTTAATGCAGTCTTGCAGACCACTGATCTAAAGCCAAAGGTACTTTCATTTGACACGTTTCAAATGTTAACCGAGGATAGTACAGAAGTCAAACAAAATTGGGAGAATATGCATGTAATTACAGAGGATGAATTCAAGTGTCAGGTATATTCCTATTTATTTATTGAGAAATATTTCTTTGCATTTATTATGTAAGCATTTTATTTCATTTTAGATACACTACGATCTCGGCATGTTTTACATTCTAAAAGAAGAGTATCATGTCGCAAAGCACCATATTTGTCAAGCCAAAGAACTGTTCTTAAAATTGGATCCATCGAAAATGTTGTACTGTAAAGTCAAGAAGGAGTATCTGGATGGATGCTGCTTGGCGTGTGACGTTCCAGTGGAAGGAATAAAACCTGGTCTTACGCAACAGTTACATAGCGCTATTAAGGATCAATATGCAGTGAGTTGATATATGAATCAAATTTTTTCACTATATTTATATTTAACATATATTTCTTTTTATTTTTCCTCTAGAATATCTTGCAAATCCTGCAGGCAGACAACGTGACAAGAGAAATCCCTCAAGTTTATAGGGACAATTTGGAATTGGACATACAGGGTGGCGTGGTTAATAGGAAACTTATTGTCGCGCGTGATCTACTTCTTCAAATTCAGTGCCTTAATTTTGTACGTAAGGTGCTCGAAAACGACGTCATTGTTGGAGATTACATAGCTGAAATAAAAATTGCTGGCACCAAAGGTTTAGATATACTTTTCTGGGTATGTATATAAATAGGGAATATTTAAAATAGTTTAAGAATGTAACTTTTAATTGCGATACTTGCCCAGGCGTTTGGTAACGTATTGGAGAAAGTTACAGAAGAAGACAAGACTCGGATATCTCGCTACCTTTTATATCTTGTCCTAATGGGAGACATCGAGGGCCTTGCAAGTAAAATCCTGAGTGATCCGAAGTTAGTATCACTTTTCGACGAGGAGGAATTGCAGGAACTTAAAAAAAAAGCTGCACCAGCCGAATGTGACTTACCGGAGTTGTTAACAAACAACGATTGGGGAATTCCTCTCGTAACATATACTCGTAAGTATTGCTCGTTAAGTTCAAGATTAAAGCTAAAGAGTAGAAATTAATTTAAATTATTATTTATGTGTGATTTTCAGAAAATCCTAGGTTAGACATCTTTCAGATGGAGCAACGTTTGATATTAACATACGATCCTGAGAAAATACGTGAGATGTTAATGTACCTTGTCAGTAAAAATCCAACGAAACCATTATGGCGAGTCAACAGTTGCTGGGAATTGCCGATTCCTCTTCAAAGTGTTGTCGTTTCCTTACCTCAAGGATTCCTGCAAGATTACTCGTATTTACTGCTCGCTAAAAGTCGAGAATTGGTCTCAAGGAAGGATTTTGTTGGTGCGAGAGAGATGTTGACAGTATTAGCAAAGGAAGTTGAGCAACACTCGCAAACTGGCAATACCCTTTTATTCAAATTAGAAAAACTGGTCAAATGGGAACTGCTACTTGTTGACATCTGGCATTGCCTCTACGCCTGGCCACCGAACAACATTTGTAAATAACATATCTACTACTAATAATAATTCATTACTTAGAAAGAAATTCTTTCACGCTTCCATTAATGGCGAGTGTTCTTTTTAGGCGACACAAAAGCTCTGGTTGAACAATGCAAACAATGTCTCGGTGCTCTGCAAGCTACGGACCAGGTCATACCGAGGCAAGAAATCATAGAGTATTGTACAGTATTTATGTTAAACATGGCCGAGTGGGAGTACTTGACAACGCTAGAAAAACGCTGGAGTTATTCTGAATTTATAGCTGCGGTGAGTACAGTGTGCCAGGATATCGAGAAATACAAAGGAGGAAGGAAGTTTCCGAGGGAAGCATGGGACATGGGTAAGTTCCTACGATTATTATTTTTTTTCATGCAGATTTAATTGATGTATCGATCAGTTTTAGCCGTGTTCGGAACGGGCAGAGAACCACCCCAGAAACGTGGCTCGAGTTCTAGTAGTGGAAGTGGTACGAGTGCAGGAAATTCATCGAGGGATGCAATTGCAAGTGTTACTGGTTCTTTAACCAGGCTTCGTGAATCTACTGTGCTTACAGTAGCTATTTCATTGCTCGAGAGATTGCACAATGTCTTGAGGGACGACTCTAATTTCGAGCTTCACACGCAGTACCCATCACTTCGACCTGCCAGTCTGCCGAAGTAAGTTTCTCTATATTTTCCAATCACGTTATCACCAGCGATTTGTTCGCGTCATGAATGCATGCGAAACGCTCATTCGGATAAATATTTGCTCGATATTTTGACGTTCCATTGTTGACGGTAATTTTTACTTTTGCCTTGCAGTCTGAATTCATATAACGCAAGGACGATAGGAGAATTTCTCTTTCAACTTTTGTTGCAAGCTCTTAAGTACTATCCCAGTAACGTCTCATGGCTGCGGTTAATGGGAGATTTAAATTTTGGTGAGCTATTACTTTATTATTCAATTTTACCTTTCGTACAGTATCTCAATGGTTCCTTGGAAAGTTATTTGAGAAGCTATACTTTGAAGAATATCATGTCCAATGATAGCATAAATATAGATATGTCACTCAAGAGAGACATTTGCTTGTAATCTGTGTTATTCCAATTATCACCGCCACTGCGAGTAAATCGTTCATGACAATAAATATTTGATGCAGAAGCCGTTCGTCTACGATGTCTATTTAAGGAATCAATTTTTTTCAGCTTTGGGATATTACGAAAGTGCCATGAAGTATTATTTGGAGGCGACAATGGTAGCCAGTGATTTATTCAGCCAACCGGTTCCTCGGAACCTGATCGATGATCTGGTTTATCGACGGATGATCAAATGCTGTGCTCACCTGCTATGTTATACACAAGCTGTAGTGTTGTGTCAATTCCTTGAAGAGGTTGATTACTCATTGGCTTTTAAAATGGCAGCAGGCGATCAGAAGAATTGTGCTCCGGCTGATGCAATGGATGCTTATTACTATTGCATCTGGGACACGACGATACTCGAGTACCTTATCCATCTACACACCAAACGGGGAGAACATCATAGAAAACAACTCGCAGTAAGTGATTCTATAATAATTAAAAGCTTATGCTCTGCCTTTTGTTCTGTCCATAAGCAATATTCTTTGGATTTTAAAAGCCGAAAATCTTGCAGATCAAAGTAATCGGCTTGTTGGAATTGAATTCCAATAATAACGAGGAGATACAAAGGGAGGCGGCGAATATCAGAAAAGCGAAGTTTTTGAGAGCACTGGCAAAGCAATATGTTTACTAATTGACTTGTAAATATAAAATATATATTTGTACCTGATAGAGATAAAATAATACGAACACTTGTGACTGGAGCATTCCGAATGTCATTCCTTGAAGTATCCGGATACAAGGTTTGTCTCTGAAACTGGTACCATTGATCAAATTTTTATTTCCTTCGAGTCGAAGAAATGGAAAAAAGGTTTATCAGTTCACCGAAGGTGAAAAATCTGGGGAAAAGCTGTAGAAACGAAATGCCACTTAGAACGAGCTCTGAAAATTCCTACGATATAATGTCAGAGATTACTGATAAGTGTCTCGATTGCTTCAAATGTAGACACTACTTAATAATAAGTATAGCTATATTTCTTGTTGATTAAAATTTTTCTGAATTCAAGCCTTTCAGCACTATGTAGAGAGCAGCAATGTCTTGAACAAGTGAGTGTAAAACAAGTCAGAGGCTGAGCTGAGTCTGTAACTAATGAAGCTTATCAGTAATTCATCCCTGTGTGCCGTTGAATTTTACCGCTGATAAGAGCTTCGATGCGTTGGGTCGTCTGTTTATTAGTCATATTGCGGCGTTTCGAGAATATCAAGCCAAGCCATTGTCAAAAATATCAGGACCATTATTGCGGAATCCTTTTCACAGCATCGTAACAAAGAACGTCTTGCATGGAGCTGGATCGATAAGGACTCAATCACTTTTGGCTGTGGTAGAAGAATACTCGTGCTATCTATGTCACGGTTGACATGAAGGGTGTCCGTTGTGTCCACATTGGGTGTGATCGTTAATAAAAAAAATTGGACGTGACCTCATGTCCAGGCCCAATCGGACATTTTGGCTGAAAATAGACTCTCCTTGACTGGGTGGATTTAAAGTGTCGGCTCGATCAGGAGCGACGCTTTTCTTCTGGCCTTCGGAGTGTCGGAAACTCGACCCCACTTCCAAGGCCGTAATTACAATCCGAAGAACATTGTAGAAGTATTAATATTTCGATTGTGAAATCCTTTATACGTTGATATATTCCAGACTGCTACCAGTCGTCTCGAGTTGCAGAAACCATACACCAGGGTGCAACAGCAACGACAACGATGGAGGTCCCTCGAAACTGAAAATCAGCCTCATGTTACACTTCTATTGAATAACAATTGAAGAACATTACAGTGGAACAAGAAGTAAGGTGAGAGAAACAATTATTAGTACCTTTGAAGCATGTTCTCCATAAGCCTTTCCAAATTGTCTGAATCGTTACATATACATTTTGCAGAATATTAACGAGACTCAATTTTTAGAGCAACAAGAGCCATTTTGGTTTTACCAGAGATTGATATTCGGTGTCCAGCATGGTAGCTGCCACATTGTTGCTGGTGACCGTCGCAGTGGCCGTGGCTTTATGGTCATTTCATTGTTACGTTAGAGGTGGAAAACGAGGAGAACTTATTAACAAGATCCCTGGACCAGTGGCTTTGCCCTTTATCGGGAACATTTTGTCATTTTTAGTGCCTTTTGGTAAGACTGGCGTACCGATAGTAATCATTGCCATACCCTGTTAGTGTTCTTTTGGTCTTGTATATTTTAGATAGTCTAACTCAATTAATTGCCATGAAGATATCGAGCTCGTTCAATTATATTTTTATAAGGCTCAGCTCATCAGTTTCAGACAACTCTGTGACCCACTTATATTGCATATTATTTGTTGTTTTAGAGGAATTATGGTATGTCTTAAGACGTCACAATCGGGACTATTATCCCATTTATAGACTTTGGAGTGTGAGATGGCCCGTAGTTAATTTGCAGCATCCCGATGATTTGGAGGTAAGCAAAACAGTACAGTTAATGATAAGCAGTGGATTTTAACGTGAAATAATTGTTATCATGGCAGCGAATACGTCAATGCGAATGGCGAAATAAATTTACACGAATTCGTAGGTCTTGCTGTCGAGCCCGAAGCATATTGAGAAAAGTCTTATCTATAATTTTCTTCACCCATGGTTTGGTACAGGTTTATTAACAAGTACAGGTAAATACAATTAAGCAGTGGGATCCAACATTACTCGTGTAAAATTTAATAAGAACCTTTGTACTAGGAACGAAATGGCAAACTCGACGGAAGATCTTAACGCCGGCATTTCACTTCAATGTTCTTCAGGAATTCGTTGATGTGTTCGTCGATCAAGCAGACCAACTTGTGAATTCTTTAAAAGCAGAAGGAGGAAGCGTAGTTAAAGATTTACTTCCTCTTCTGACTAATTACACTTTGGATACCATTTGCGGTACATTGCTTACTTTTTTCAGCAATTGTCCATAAATGGATATGTAATCTGATTACGAGTAAGCCGCTTCGACGAAGAAAAAAAGTTTATCGGAGATATTTTTCCAGAGACTGCAATGGGAACGAGATTGGATGGTAAAAGTGTACTTCACAGCAAGTATAGATCAGCCGTTAGCGAGATGAGCGAAGTCGTGATTTATAGGCAAGTGCATCGATGCTAAATAAAAAAAATTTATTAACGACAATATGTAATTGAGAATAGCAATAATTTGCAGACTAGTGAGGCCATGGACACACCCTAACTGGTTATTCACGTTATACCCAAAATATTCCGTACAGAAGCGAGCGCTGAAAATACTTCACGGTTTTTCAACAAAAGTAAGCTTTGTCCTAAGAAAACAATTTTATTTGCAGTAGTAACAAGCCGAGGTAGACGTAACAGAGATTTATTGTTTTGATCGGCAGATTATAGGTGAGAGGACGCAATACCACGATGAAAACCCTGGAGCATTTTTAGAAAGTTACCAGGAGAACGGAAACTACGTGAATCGGTCAGAAATAGAGTCCAGCAATGGTGAGAGAAATATGACAACAGGAGCAGCTGTTTCTTAACTCGGAAAAAATGGTACGTGGTCGTTCATTCCAGGGAAGAAGAAGAAGAGATTAGCAATGTTAGATCTGTTGATTGCTGCATCGCGATTGCACGGTAGAATCGATGACGATGGCATCAGAGAAGAAGTCGATACATTCATGTTCAGGGTAGGTTGCCGATAAAGGCATCACCATCGGCTTTTTAATAATACCATCGAACCATTTTTAGGGACACGACACAACGGCAATGGGACTGTGCTTCGCCCTTTTGCTCTTAGCCGAGAACAAGGAAATTCAGGTAAGACTTCGGTAATACTAACGTCTACTTAAGTGTTGAATAAAATGTAAACTAATAAAGTATACGTAGGATCGCGCAAGAAGGGAGATCGACGGGATTTTCGAAGAAAGTGGTGGGAAGATCACAATGGCCGAGGTACAGCGAATGACTTATTTGGATCGTTGCATCAAAGAAGCGCTCCGTCTGTTCCCAAGTGTCCCTTTTATATCCCGGCAAACCGCAGAAGACCTCCAACTAAGTGAGCATCGACCCTTGTATTAGATTTTACTTGGAGTCTTGCGACACTGCAACTCAATTTTGAATATACAGTACCGCAGGACATAGCAGCTGTCATCCCTTCAGTGCCTGTAATATTCCTAATGATTGCATCATTCGTTTAGAAAATTACGTGATACCAAAGGACACGATTATCCAAGTGCACGTCTACGACCTTCATAGAGATCCGAATTTCTGGCCGAATCCTGAGCTCTTCGATCCAGATAGATTCCTGCCAGAACGAATCCAAGGACGCCATCCATTTTCGTACGTGCCATTCAGCGGGGGGCCCCGTAATTGCATAGGTGAATTGATAATTAGCATCCCATTGGCTTCCCGATAAAATGCCTAAAAACCAGGGAAATATCTCTCCCCTCACGAATCTGAAATCGTAGGTCAAAGGTTCGCCATGTTGGAGCTGAAGACGCTGATAAGTCACATTATGTACAATTTTTACATGGAGCCGATCGACTTCACCAACGACGTAAGATTTTATCCGGATTTGGTGCTGCGGCCAGGGCATCCCATCCGAGTGAAATTCGTCCCCAGATCGGCATAAAAAGGACATCACGGATTACCTACCAAGTAAAGCTGTAATAATTCTCGAATAATCCTCTCCAATGGCCACGACTATGGGAATATCTCAAACTCAATGCACTCAACGTACATCGGAGAGAAGCGATATCTAGTAACCTCAATTGCGCTAAAACGATGCCGATAATCTCTGCTAAATTCCATTTAGAGACTATAAACGTGGAAGTGGACTCTAGTGGCATCTACGACAGGGTACTTTTACATATGAGCTTATATTTCGTGTAATTTCTTTACATCAGCCGACTACCTGTTTTATATATAAAGCTTCCATCCAAAAAAACGATACATTGATTGTTTGCTTTCCTGTTAGTAAAGCTGACATACATACCGACAGCGCGGCGAGTCGCTGTCTCGCAGAAAAGAGAGACCACCCTCGTTAACATCTGCTCACCGTCTATTTTCCAGCCCCGCGGCTACGACACCCTCCCCTCGGTTTAGATCTCAGGGTGTCTCATCATATTTCACATATCCCATCTCTTCTCTCCGACTCGCGGTCTCGGAAAGGAAGGGCTTTTTCCGGAATCCCCTCGCTCCGGTCGGCCGAAGCTCCGTAGAATAAATATAAAGCTCGCTTAAGCGGCCGTATCAAAAATAGAGAGCAAACGTTCGGCAAAAATGGTTAACTGCCGCTAAGAGGTGTTGGCATTCCCTCGGTGCAATATACGCGGTAACGCGCGGAAATATTCTAGGAACAATATTTGGATACGGCGTATATGTGCACGAACGTATGTAAAAAGGAGACGACGTTATCCTCTTTGGTGACACTACGATTTGGTATTTTTTTGTTTTCTTTTTTTTGTGTTTCTTTTCCTTGCATTAACTCCTGGCGAAGGTACTGACATTTGTTGCGGCCTTAGAGATTACATTAATAACGCGCATTGTACAACGACTCACATAAATAGAACTTTTACAACTGTACAGATCACATTTGAACGTTGGAGAATTTAACGATGGTCGCCGACCTCTCGGCAGAGATTTACTTCCCCCCGTTTCTTTGTCGCACTTGCTCTACGGTGGTCGTGTTACAACCCCATGAAAATTCCATCCTAGCGGTAATCCACGTCGTACAATTTCGCGTATCTCTCGTTACGAAATAACGCCACGGAATGCTCCTCTCGATTTTCAAGTGCGGAACAAAGAAATACGGAGTAACGACCCGATAAGAAATTCACATTTAGATTCACTTGGAGAGGATCAATTCTTATGTATTTAACCATAGCCATACTTGGCGTAAGCGCATACGTACGTGTGACGTATATGTACGTATAATAAATGTATTTACCGCGAAACTCTACCTTTCCCGATTCTCCCATGAAGGGGACAGTAACACGACCCGCAGGAAGTCGTCCCTAGCGAAAGTACAAATTCCCATTTCGAATATTCGATGCAAGACTAATCCAATATGATCACCTCTGTGCACATTACGAGCACTTCGCGCACCCCCTTAGTGATTAAGATTACAGGATTATATGCTCGTTACATGCTCGTCCACACTGGTAGAACGTTATATATCGTTATATCCCGGGTACAAGGCTTCGCTAGTCGACTATTCTACGCTAAATCACAATCAAAATGTTACACCGTTATATGTTACAGCCGTTACATCTCGGAGTAACTTCAGGGCGCTCTTCCTGGGGTGTCGAAGAACCTCATCGAATTTCACGGCCGACCCGGCGATTAACGCAAGCACAAATAAATATCATTATATTAAGGGTCACGTCGTTATTTTTTTGTTTCTTCTTTTTTTTTGTAGGATTACATCTATGCAAAGTCTGCATATACAGGGCTACCCACGAGACGCTCCAGAGACAGAAGACGCGGACGACCGTTCCGATTTTTCCCCTTTCCAAGAGGAACCACATGGTAAATGAAATTAATAACCGCGCCATAAAATCGATCGCAATGACCCGAAGAGAAATCCCTATTTGTACTTTTTTATAGCTCCGTTCGTTTTCCAGGTAAAATGTTAAACATCGCGGATCGCCCCGTATACGCGTTCTACACTTTGGCGTCCCGACGTGACAATTCCTAAAGGGCTGCTCGAAAAACTCCTGGAAAATTATCGAGGCTCCTGCGAGGGTAAAGTTTTCCAAAAGCTCCGGAAAGCGAAGTTCATATAAGTAATCCTGCATTTTCGGACAAGTGTTTTCACCCCGACTCGCCGACAACGGGGCACGCAAATTTTTCCCGGGTCAACGATAACATTTGGCCTTTCGAGATACTCCTATCTCAGTCTACGCATTCCCCGAAAAATCGCTCGCGATTGGAGAAAAGTTTGTTATCGAGTTAATTGTGACATCCTGCGTTCGTATCCCAGAATTGCAACTTCTCCGTTCTAGGCCGTGATTAGGAGATGGAATTATTTCCCACCAGCAAGTGGAGAATGGCCCAGAAACTCTGCACATTAATCGCCGCTATTAGCCGTCCTGGGCAGCCGCAATTTTCCTTTCCCTACGTTAAATACGGCACTGCGAGGGTCTTACAAACGGTAAAAGAAGGCACTTGTAACGTGACTAAGGCGACAACATTTTCCATTACACAGGTCTCCCTTTTTTCTTTTTCCCAGGCATCTTACGGCGGTACAAGTTCCATGACAATTTCCAGCACGGTTTTCCATTCGCAAATACGCGATGGGGGAATTTCCCCCGTGGAGGGTTCTCGCAAAAAGCGAGTAACATTAGAGCCGGATGAGAAATTTCTTCCCATTCCGCGATTACTTTCTTTTCCCTCCTCCTTGAGAGTTACTTTGGTAATGACTAGGTCTTACAGAATCGCTATACTTGGCGTTACACACGAGCACTTACGGCGTGCACGGTCTCCTACATTACATGCGTAGCGTTAACATAATTAATAACATAATGACGCACTAAGGTTACTATGGCCGCGAGGGGGTGCAATCGACATATCCATACATACGTATTCTATGTACACATTAGCGCCGTAAACGAAAAATACCCGGTTTACAGGATACATATAAATAATATTCAAGAATCATAGGTGCTCGAAACGTTTGTGCGAATTAATCAGGCCGCACCCCAAAGAGGGAGCGAACGCTTCTTCAAGCATTTATTAGCCCCACGAATTCATAAATAATTACTCACAGGGCAAGTATTTCTTTCATTGACCGCTTCGTTTGGCAAAGTTCATTCCGCGGGTTAGTCTATGTATTTTTGGCGTGCGGTCCGACATAGAAATCGTACGGTGTCCGAGAAATGCGCGGTTCCATTTCCCAATAAAACTGGTTGCGCATAAAAAATGTCCTACTTAGAAAAGTGTATAACGCGCTCGAAAATGCCCGTAACGTTAAATTAATCGCGGGCGGCAGCTTCGAGTTATTATGCATAAAGGAACTTGGATGTCCTCCATAGTCGAGCGTTAAGAAAATCGAAGTTGGTACTCTTGCATCATCCTACCGCGTCGACCAATCAGCGTCGCGTGACGTCACGAAAATCAGGCCTACCAACGTAAGCAGCTCGCGTGGCCGAGCAAGAAATTTCTCTCCACGTTCTCTGTACACATGAAAATACGTGTATACGGATATGCTTCGCGGGGGAAGTTGCTGAGCAGAGGTAAAGACCTGGCCGGAGATAACGAAGGACTCCATTTTGCTGGCCACTATTCCCGCCTCAAAAGGGAAGCCCGAACCGACCGAATTCCCGAAAATTACCTTCTCGCCTTACCTTCGACCCTTTGCTGATCGGTTAATTAACACGGGTATAAAATTCACCATAGAAGAGAAGAAAAAAAAAAGGATACTCCAACGCTTTTCTACTCCATTTTCAACAAGGATTTCATTACCACGTTAACAGCGCGAGGCGTGACCAGGCTCTCACCTGCCGTTCCCACGTTAATCCAAATGATCAGGTGATCCCCGATAAGAGACCGATCAACAAAGGGTCACCAGCGGTTTCCTAGCGCCCAAGAGATCCAGGATCGGCTTGCCTTCCTCATCAGCAGCTGGCGAAATAACAATACGACTCTGTACTCCCCTAGGGAGGTAACCAAGGACCCGGAAGGCCGGCTCGTCGGACTCTACCTTTCAGAACTGGATGCGATAGTTGCTGGGCCGAGGAATGGACCTAGCCTTGGTGGGCGGCAGAGAGGAGCAGGAAGCCTCGCTGCTGGCAGTGCCCCCGGAGTCGCGACCTCCGCTCTTGCTGCTGACAGTGCTGCCGGTGCTCTGTCCCCGAGATCCGCCCAGTTTCCTGAGGGTTCCCTTGCCGTCGCCGTCGCTCAGCCTGCCGTACTCCCCGATGCGCCTCGAGGGCGGCGGTATCAAGGACCGTCCGTGATTCTCGCGGTGCTTGACCTCGGGGTTACCTTGCTTTTTGCGCTCCAGGTCGCCGAGCCGCTCGTACTCCCCCGGCAGAGCGAGGTTCTTCTTCGCGGTGGGGGAGTTGCTCCTGACCGAGGCCTCGGACCCCGAGGACTTCTTCCTGCGCTGGGCCTTGGGGTCGAACCTGCCGTACTCCAGGGTGCAGTTCCCGGAGTCGCGGCCCGACTTCGTCGCCGGCTCCATGCTCGGTCCAGGGTCCGACTTCTTGCGAGCCTCCGAGTCGCTGAGTCTGCAGTACCGCGAGTTCCCGGACTTCAGGGTCCTGGGGGGCCTCGGCAGCGAGCTGGGAGGCAGACTGCCCGCTCTTCGAGGCTCCCCTTCCTGCATCCGCTGTCTCTGGGAGCTGCGACCTTGCTTCTCCAGCAGCATCATGTCCTCCGGCTTCCCGTCCGAGAGCCTCGAGGCGGCGCTCTTGAACCTGACCGCGTGGGCGAACTCCAGGATCCCGCCGGACGCCTCGGCCGGGTCGTCCAGGAGGCGGCTCTTGCTGGAGGCCGTGCTCGAGCTACCTGTACTATCTACACCCGCCAATAATGGCTTGGGTATTTTTCCTTTTCGCGACGCAGTGCCTGGATTAGAGAATCCTGGAAAACAGCAAAGTGCCCGCTGAAAAAATAAGAAGACGGACACGGCCGTGTCGGAGAGGAGGCCCGGGACCTGGAAGAGGGTTAGTGCTCGCCACGACAGCGCATGCGCACTCAGGAGGAAGGGATGGTCTGGATGAAGGATGGACATTAGTCGGACCGCACCAAAACACCAAACACGGGCGTTATGAACCCGAAGACAGGCGGTTATCAAAATGTGTATCCTCGTATATTTCTTTCTCTCGCCACACAACGCATGTCCTTTTAATAGAAAAAAAAGATGTATATATTCGTCAGGTAACGAGACGTACATATGTGGATACGTGAAATACAAAAATATGACACTCAGCAAAATTGGGAGAAAAAAAAAAAATGAAGACAATGACTTAGGTGTTTATTATCTGCACTGTTACTTGTTAAAGGAAATGCACGACGTCACGCAAGCACTATTAAACGGTTAGGGCGGGTTCAAGAGTAGTACGTGCATTGATTGATAATGTTTATGCTTTGCAGTGCATCTGACTAATGTTGGTATTTTTTTTTTTCTAATTAACCAGCCTCGCACTACCCTGAAGCCGCTTGAAGCCCAATCCGATGCCACACGAACACAACTGTACCTTTTACACATATACCGCTTGTGCGATAATAATCGCGACCTGCTGTGACTTTTGCGAAGGTGATACGATGAATTGTAAAAGAATAAATGTCTACTAACGATAAAAGATAAATGAAATTATACAGCGGAATGGATAGTCAAGTATCTAGCAATCGACAGTGAACCTTCCGATGGTCAAAACTGCACCGAGGTGACAATCTGTGAGAACTCGTTGACATTTTTCTTTTTATGAGCGAGTGGAACGCTACACCGTGGAGATTCTGCCTACCTTACTGAGCAGCTGAGAGTCTAGCTCCTTCAGCTGGTCGTCGAGACTTTTGTTAGTTTGCTCGAAACTGCCTTGCTTCCTATACTTGTAGCTGTCCGCCACTCCGTAGGACCCGGTGCTGCCGTAACCGCTACCGCCACCCAGCACACTGCTCACTGTTGACAACGTGAATTATCGTTAATAAACATCCAAGGCTCTCCAGTTTTCTTGAGAGGGCACGATTTATTAGTTAAACTAAATAATAACCGAGTTCCGGTGTGCTGGTCAGTGCAGTGTGATGGTCCGCCGAAGTGCTCGAATGGGAGGAATGGGCCGCTGGATAGCTGCCTACTCCACTACTGCTGCTACTGTCCTTATCGTAAGTGTGCTTCTGCAGGACTCTTATCATCGCGTCCCTCTCGGCGAGTTTCGACTCCAAATCTTTCATCCTGCCCGGGGAGAGAAGCACGACGTTAAAAATATGCAAACTTACAAGCTTTTATTTTTTACAGGTCGGCTCCTAGTCGTTCGATCGCTGATTGACTGACTTCATTGTGCAATCCCTCACCTGGATTCGAGATCCGCCAACTTCTTCTGAGCTGCGTGCACCTCGTCCATGTGTCGCATCTTCTCCGAGCGAGCTTCCGCTATCAATTTCTCAGCGTCTTGACTCGTCTTTTCCAGAGCAGCGATTTTAGCATCTCTGAAATACATATATTAGACGATTTACACTTCCGTTCATTGGGATGTGTGGTGTAAAAATATTAATATAATTTATGTTTCGATAAATCATGAAATGATTACTTTGGAAGACTAGCTGCGTCGATAGCAGCCTGACGTAAGGCACTCTCTTCCAGGTAACGCTGTTCCCACTTAGCAACGTCACCTTCCAGGGACATAATTTTCTCATCCCGTTCGCGTATCCTCCTCTTCAAATCGGCGATCGTCTCCCCACTGGATGACTGTTCGCTGCTGTTGGCACCTCCACCTTCCCTGAGTTCTCTTTCCAATTGGCCCCGCAATTGTCGCTCCGTTTCCTCTCGCCTGTCGCTGGAAGCTTGAAGAGAAGAGAGAGCTCGCTGCAGCTGGCCTACTCTTTCCACGTACACCTGCTTCTTGCGGGACTGTGAATAATATCGAAGGATTACCAAATTTAAAGAACGCAAAACCTGTCGCGGGATTTCATTCCTCTCGCGGGAATTTAATATCTCGACTTGGCTTAAACGTATTACCTCCTCTTCTAGGCGTACAACATTTCCTTGTGCGTTGGTGAGGGCAGTGTCCAAAATGTCGATATGCGTTCGTTGTTCCTGAAGAGTAGCTCGCTGGGCTGCCAGCTCGATTTCCTGCCTTTCCTTCGCAGCGGCCAGTTCTTTATCTATGGCAAAGACGTTATTATAATCCACGATATCGCAGCAATTTGGGAAATTGAGCGACCTAATTACTTTGTGTGATCAGTTGACCGATGAGCAGCTCTCGTTGCGTTAGCTCCTTCTTCATGGACTCCACAATGGGTGGGCTGTCCATGCGAGAGGAGAGCAAGTCAATTTGCTCCCTTAAGGCACGATTCAGCTCCGTAAGTCTCCGACAATCGTTTTGCAGCCTTAGTCGAGCTGCCCTTTCGAGTTTCTCTCTTCGCTCGCAAGACGCGGCCAACTCTTCATGGGCACGATGCACCTTTGTTATCTCTTGCTCGAGTTTCTGGGACTTTGCTACCTTGTTGTAACAACGCTCCAGTTCCAGTTTCAAGGCACTGTTCTCTTGAATCACTATCTGAACCATTTCAGATGGTGGCCAAATCTCACCCGTTGTCGTCTCGATTTCCTCTCTTCCCTTGGTCTGAGGACTGAACGGGATAAAACGGAAGAGGTTAATAATGCACTGACAGTTAATCGAAATGTGTTAATTAAATTAAATTACCGAGCTGAGGAAGGTTTAACGCTTCATTGACTTACCGAGGAGAAGTGGCTCGTGGGTCATACCCATCGATATCAACTTTTCCAATTCTCGATAAATCAGGCTGTGACCGTGACAGCGTCAATTTCTCAGCAGGACCAAGAAGTCTGTATTTGCTCTTTAAAGGTAGCAATGTTGAAGTGTAGGAAGGTGGTGGTCTGTCTTCGTAGTCATCACTTTGTTTCCCTCGGTCGGTTTCACGCATCTTTAATTCCATGGTACCGCCATTATTCGCGAGCTTTCCATATGAAGGAACTTTAACTTCCTTTGCCAGATGTTTTAACACCTATCGAAAACATTTTGATTTTAGAGCCGATGCAACTAAAATTCAAGTTTTAAGTAATTACTCACCTGCGATTGACTGAGATAGTCATCTGGAATGTCAGTAATTTCTTGACATCCACCGCTACCTGACTGATCGTAGAGATGTTCCTCATGCGACAAGTTTGCCAAAGACTGCATTATTGGACTATTCGAATGTCCTTTGCCACCGCCTTCACAATATAGATAGCCCATGTCTCCGTGTTCTCTCACACTGCTAGATAATCTTGATAAAATAGGGAGAAATATTAGTAATTTAAAAGAACATTTTGATGAATCGACAAACTAATGATCGAAGATTCACCTTCCGGACGGCGTCCATGTACTCTCGTCGTTTGCATTATGTATTATAAGTGTATTATAAGAGCTCGTAGACACATCCAGGCTACTTCGATTCGACCCTAAACTAGTACGATTGCTCAGATTGTCTTTTAAGCTGTTTCTGTTAGAGCCGTTAATGCTATCTTTCAAGCTATTTCGATTCGAACCATTTAAGCTTTCCTTCAAGCTGTTCCTGTTAGAACCACTCAGGCTATCTTTCAAACTGTTTCTGTTGAGCAGGTTACCCTGAATCATAATAGAGGATTTTTTCTTATGTAACAAACCATTACAAGTACATTTATGGTTGCATGAATGAGTTTCTACCGACCAGTACCACACCTAGGTACGTAGCATTTGATTGACAAGGACAATAAATACTGGGTGTGAGAAGGTCAAAAAGTAAAGTATGTGTGATGTACAAACGTATACATGCACACACGGATAAAATAATTTTTATACTTTCGATATGTTACAGGTGCTATAAAATTCAAGAAATGTAATTATTGAAATTACTTGAATATTTGGTATGTTCTCCTTATGACTGGAAGATCTCGATGGACTCTGTTGCTGATTCTCTTGTCCTTGTGGCTCTTGACGCGCCGTATGTCTTATAACATATCGTTCTTCGTTACTTAAATTCTCGTTCGATGTGGAAACATCGGTATCGCTACCACTTAAGCTTTGGGGCAAACCTCCTGTAAAAAAAGAACGTCCAGAAATAAATCGTACTACCCTCGATTCCTAATTTCACCGTCTAAAGCCACGTAACATCAACCGTTCATAAAAAGACATTTCCATACCTTGAGATGACAATTGTTTCCTCTGTATATTGTTATTACTGAAAGGAAGGAATCGACCGGTTTGCTGAAGAGAACTCATGTCGTCATGTGTTCATTTAGCTTGACGCTTATTGCCTGAAAAAAAAAGAGAAACACGTTGTGTATACGATCGTTTTCACAACCTCAAAAAATGTAATACAAAAAAAAAACAAGTACAAAAATCTAGAATTAACGTGTCCTCCAGATTATTGAGATATTTTATTGTTAAATTAAATAACCGTATACACCATGTGCGAAGTGATTCTCTTAATTACTAAGCATAGAAAGTACACGGATACGAAACACTATCGGAGGGAACAGAAAATCAAGTTACATGCAAACCATTAGTCGAAGAGTTACATGCATACCATTGTCTGAAAGAGTATCGGACAAAGTGGAAATCGAAAATTTCTCAAAAGGGGTGAAAAATCTGTCCGGCTGAGCTCTCGATCGAGTGGCTTCGATTAAACGGCTGCTCGCGATATTCATCTACGGGGGACGGAAAAGCGATTATGGTACATATGGAGCGAGGTTGGGGCCAGGCACGTTGTAACAGTGACAAAACAGAGCACCGTGACAGAGGTGTCAACACTCTGGAATGTCGACGATTTGGAGATAAGGGGATATCATCGGGCGTTGAGTAAACGGAGAAAAGTGATTGGGGCCGGGGCTGGCTCGATCTACGTACGCAAGAAGCGGTAGGCTCGTCGATTTCGCACGCAAGCACTGTATTTTTAAAGACTTCTAAACTCAGGGCCTGTATAAATAAACAAAAGGACACGGGCGAGCGCAATCGGCGGAGAGTTTCGGCCCTGGCGGCGTCTCAGGGCCCGGCGGTAATCTCGAATGGGTCCGATAAATTACTCACACGATCGGAGATGCGAGGGCCACGAGAAAATCGCAATTATTTCAATAAATTGGTACACTTTGCTCCTCCACGCACAAGAAATAAAAATCTCTGTCTGCCGCATTCCTCGCCAGGTGGCGCCTCGACGCGCGAGGTTTGGTGGGAGCTCACGTGCGCGCGCAGCGGGAAAATCTCTCCCGTTTGAATGCATCTACCCCAATAAATTACTTCAACAAGATACGAACAACTCACCCAAAGAAATTCACTTCAACTCGCGAAGATAAAGGTCTGTTAAGCCATTATTAATCCCTGCTTACCTTCCTCGTATTATATTTGCGAAGTATAGATATCTCTTCGAACTTGCTCACGCTTACGTACTCTACAGCGGCCATGTTGGAAAACCATTTTGGACCGACATCACGGTTCTTCGAAAATGCGAATATCACCGGAGACCAAAACCACGTATGTGCAAGAATTCTCACGGTAAGGATTTCTTCTTCGATTTGATACAAACTTGAACAAAAAAAAAAGAAACGCGTTATACAACCCGTTCCTAGCAAAAAGCCGACCTCTCGCGATCTTAATGCGAACAAAAGAAACGAGGCCGTTACTCAAGTCATGCAATTTATCGGAGCATTTATGTAATGACACAGAGAGGAAGAATTATAAAAAAAAAGAGAGAGAGATAGTAAAAACGAGATTAATTCTTCAACAGTTTACTCCTAGGCTCTTGTATCTGGCCAGACTGAGTCCGGCGCGGGCTGATCGACCGATCAGCTAATCCGCGCGCGATCACTCTTTATTATACTCCACAATACATAAAAATAATGATATTTACAAATGGTAGGGTAATGTTAGGCACTCAATGAACAAAATGTGGAAAACATAGAGGATCTCGATCGCCCCCGAATAATGTATATATATTGTATACGCGGGTGCGAGGTGCCGTGTATAGATGCGCTCAGGGTTCAACAATGTTTCCGTCAAACTTGGCGAATGTGGAACCACGTCGCTGTTTTCATTCAAACCGTTAACTTTCTAGATCCTACTTAATTTTTAACACGTCCCAGATGAAACATTTGGTGTAACGGGAATTTGGAGAACAAGCAGAAGCTGCGGTATAATACGTATTAATGGTCGCATCCAAAAGCTGCCTTCATTTGAAACTTCCACGGCGCATCCTAAGATACAGGTAAACGAAGAGAATTTTGCTAAGAAAAATACCCTGGTAGAATATCGAGTACACGTTTTTTTTTTTTTCGTTAACAGGTCAACGCTTTGAACGAGGACAGCGCGATGTCGAGAGTGAGAGATCCTAAAAATACGGCGAAAATGAAGATTCTAATAACGGGGTCAAACACGACGAGCCATGCCGGTGTCTGGGAAAGCTTAGAAACTTAGGCGATTTCTTGGCAAATTTTATTCCTGCTTTTTGGAGTCCTTTTTCCGTCTTCGCGGCCCGATCGGTCTCGCCGGATGTGGAATGTCACAGGTGTAACCAGGTATAACAACAAGCATGTTCGCGTGGAATGTGCTCGCAGATTTGTCCCGAGCTCTCCTAAGTTAAGTCACTTCGTCTTAAGTACCTGTCGGGTGTCGTTACTAAAGATCTCGAGTTCGATTCTGGTATCGTTAGCTGGTCATTTGGCCAGCCATGGCGGCCGATGGACGCCAGAAATTAAATACCTCGTTATTTCGACGATCCGCTCCCCGAGACGCCTAGAAAAGGCGATTCTACCCGATTGGGTATTAATTTTTAAGTGTTACTGTCATCCTGAGAGGAAGACCTCGATTTTCCAAGCCCGAGGAGCGAACGACGATTTACTGAACAATTTCAATTTCTATCACTTTAGCGAGCTCACGTAAATATCGTTCTCGCCCGTTTTAACCCTTTTCCTATATACCTCCATATGCTCTCCGCACATACACTGCGGATCATGTAGATACCATGTATACATCTACGAGTACAATTTTCCAATATCGAGACACTTTAACTTCGTTACTCAAAGTACAAGATTGCTTAAAAATGTACTTCTCCGATAGAGAAAAATATGTAAGTGTACGTACTATTTTCATTATCTTTTTACATACCGTACCACCGATCGGTACCCAAGAAATTGCCAATAGCCATCATGAACAGTGAAAAGAGAAGTAAATCAAGTAACAATTTAGCAATCCTTCCGCAAGGATTTTTTATTTCTCCTCCTATCGAGAACGCACGACTCTCGATAATTAATTTCCAGATACGAATTTCCTACTTTTCAACTCCTCTTCCAAGATTTTCTTTACCTAGCTTACGAAGTAGCCTAATCGATTTTCCTTCCATCGAATACAAGGGCGCCCACTCTAGCACGCCAAGGAAACTAAACGTGCGTTTTATTGTTCCTCAATTAATTTGTACAATTAGCGTCAGGAATCAGTGAATTCCGATTTGCCGCCTCGGAAAGGGTTAAAACGCGGAATAAATATCGTTAACCTAGTATTTTCCTCCTTCGATGACTTCGAATTCCTTGTTCAGTAGCACGTTCGGGAAACGAGAAACGAGGTACTTAAGTTTCCAAGCCGCAGGGTCGCGCGCATTCGTTAAGGAATCGTTACAAATCGTGCCCCGCGATAACGATGTCGCGGTCGCCACCGAAAGAGTCCACACCACGGAGAATAAAATAAGTTAGACGGTGGTTCTTTCTATTTCTCGTTTAAAATATTATGATACAAATTGCAGTTACTCTTTTATACTCTGGGTCCTAAGAGCCGTCGGTGTAGGCTTAAGTCGAGGAAAGTACGAAAAAATGCTCGCGTTACCGCCCTTCCACTCCCGAGGAAGGAGCGGCGGGTCCTTTTCTTCCATCTTTTCATCTTTTCTTTAGGAAAAAGAGAATGAGTGCTTTATACAATTCTCGCCTCGCGCGTTTACATCTTTATACATACATACGCGCGCGCGGTACTGATATGATTCTTTATTACAATATTATATGCTAGGATAGTCACCGACTAGCCGTCGACGACTGGGTAACATCTCTTCGGAACATACGTTATAACGCGCCCTAATAGACTCGAACATGACTGCGGCACTTTGAGAGCAGCTTTGAAGGCTGTGCGATGTGACGAACGGTAAATAAGCCTCCTACAGTTACTTAGTATAATTACACGATTATAAATAAAAAGTAAAACATAGGTATACGTGCAATGCCGTGAAGAGGGTCCACGACAAGATGGCGTCGCGGAGTTGTACTTTCGGTAGACTTGAAACCTCGAATTTCGGACATGTCCAATTAAGTACGTGGGCGTGACTCGCAATTCCCTAAGGGAAATAATAACCGGAATTACGAATTACAGGTGCAGCTGTGCAGATCCTTGGGTGTCTCTCTCAGGGGTCCGGTTCACCCCTTGGACCCTCGAGACGCGTGGCCGCCATATGTAAAAGACACGGATTGCGCAGTATGAGGTAACGATGGATTAAATAATTGATCCGCTACCATGAAGACATGGTATCTAAATACGAAACCGCGTTCTCCAGGAGAATCTCATCGGAGAGAAGTCGGTAATCTCGGGTGCTTCCTCGGGGAGCCTCGCCCAAACTCGCCCCCGAGTTAAGAAGTCGCTACTCCAACACCCTGAGGAAGTCTCCGGGCATCGGCATCGCTCAAGGACACGGGACTATAATTTTGGGTGAATCGCACAGCCTTGGGAAGCTTCGTCGCAAGGCCTCGGTCTCCCCGTTTCGCGTTCACAGGCGCTAGAAATCGTATCCTGGAAACAAGAAAAACCGGGGACGCCCGCGAGAGCACCGGAAGAGAAACTTAATACGAGGTTCCTGTACATTTTGGTCAATGTATAACGCCTCTTACACGTTTACGCCTTAGGTCTAACTGCGCCTCCATATTAAGTGGTTCACTTATACAGTCGCCGTCAGGAGAGGAAGAAAACGCAACTGACAGTGTCGCCATCAACCGACGGCTCCTTCAACCCGTCGATAATATCACAGATGAGTGAGTTTCCGTGTTGTGCAGAGCGCATCGCTATCTCAGGGTCCTGACCAGGGCATTGATTCGTTCGATCTTCTCGGCCAGCATCCGCCTCTCCGAGTCGAGGGCGGCTCGCGTCGACAGCAACTCGCACCTCCTTCGCTCCAGCTGGATCGCTTCCGACCGAAGGGCGTTCGACTGCGCTGCCAATTTCGACGTCTGACCTGCCAAGACCTTTCTCTCCAGTGATTTTTCTAAACCCGACAAGCAGAAGAGTTAAATCAGTGACATCGATTGGGCCAATCGCACGTCTCTAGATTATTAAGACATTGTTCATTGTGACAGACACCTCAGGTCCGAACTTAACGAAATGAACCTGGATTTTCATGCGAACGTCTAACCTTTAGAATATTCCCTGTAAGCCACGAGGATGTCCTCCAGACCGGTCCACTTGGGTCGGTCCTTCTTCTCGGCCATCTCGTCGACATCCTCGGAGATGTCGATGATCTTGCAGACCTGCTTGACTCCGTTTTCCCCAGGCATGGGCAGCATGGGGAACATGGGATAGTAGCTCGACACCACGGTCGGTACCAGAGGAGGAAGCGGAGGAGGACGTTCCGGGAGATGCTTCACTTTGACCCTGTCCAGGAGCCTCATCTTCTGGGGAGGTCGGGGCTGAGGAGGAGGGTTCTTCGAGTATATCTTGGCGATCCTCTCGCAGTAGGCAGTGACGGAGTTTGTACTCTTCCTCTTCTTCCGGTCTGCCAGGATGTATTGCCAGGTGATCTCGGCCTCTGCGAATTGAGAAACAATTCCGGATGAAATTATCCGCTACCTCTTCAAGGTAGAGCTTCCAATGAGAACCTTGTCTTACCATCTCTCTTTCCAGGTGGCATGACGTCAAGACCGATGGTCTTCAAGAAGCCGACCTTTGGAGCAAAGTCCGGCGCGTGGAGGAGGACATCGGGGTGTTCCCTCGGGATAGGGAGGACGCTCTGCACCGAAGGCTCAGAGTCGAGAGGAGGCTCCGGAGGTTCCGGATTCAGTCTGTACCTTTTCTCCACCTTGTGGAGCTCGAGTTCTGAAAACGACAGATTTCGGTCATACCTGAAGCACTCCTTCGAGGGGCACCCTCTTCGGCATCTCAAAAAGTCATCCTCGGGATAGTTACCATTTCGGACGCTGAGAGTGGTGAGTCCGAACATGGCCAGGAAGGAGAGTTTCTTCTCGGAGTACTGGAGCTTCGCGGGGGGGCCTTTGGTGATCCAAAGGTCGACGTCCCTGGCCTCCTCGTCGCCCTCGGAGTCGGAGCTGCAGCCCACCCCAGAGTTCCTCTCCCGCCTGCGTTTTCTGCGCCTCTCGGCGAGGTCCAAGCTGGACGTGAGTTCCTTTGGTTTCTCGGGCACCAGGAAGGACCTCTCCACAGGACTCTGCCTGGCCAGGGCCTTGCTGACGTCGGGCACGTTCAGAACCTGGAGCTCCACTTTAACCGGGATCTCGGCCAGGTTATTGCACTTGTCGGTGAAGCAGATGGGACTCTTGACCTCGGCCCCGGAGAAGTTGAGGAGCTTCTCCTGGTACTTCGGGATCTGCAGGAGCACGTTGGAGACGTTCTGGCAGGTGCGCAGCACCTCCTCGGACTTGATGCTCTGCATCAGCTGCGCGGCGTCGAGGTGTTTGGCCGCTGCAGGTTCGTTGTTTCCTGGGAACTTGATGGGCGGCTGATAGGCTGACAACGCGGACATCAGATTATTCTGCGCGACTTCCGCGTTGCTGAGACTGCTAAGATTGCTAAGATTGCTCAGATTACTCAGGTTGCTCTTGGCCTCGACCTCGACCTTACCCTCCTTCTCTTGACCGACGGAGAAACCCGCAGGTTGGAACGGAGACGTCCTGGCGGACTCCTGGTATGGTTGGTGGGTCAGGTTGATCTTTTCGGGATGCATCTGGGAATTGCCGAAGACCTGGTGCCTGGCGTTCTCTTGTAGGGCCTTCTCGGCCTTGGAACCGCAATCCCTGAGGACGCCCTCGGGACCAGCGGCCTTGTGCCCTGAGTTGAAGAGCTTCCCCGGTCCCGAGACCGAGTGGCCTCCGGAGTAATAATGACTCCCCTGGTTCTTATCACTTGCGACGATACAATTATTATTAATATTAGTCTGAGTGGAGCTGACCAGCGACTCGTGTTGCTTCCCCCCATTAGAAGTCCCGGACGAGCCGTTCGAGGGCGAAGCGTTCATTTTGGCCTGGTGATGCTGAGGATGCTGAACGGCGGAACCGAAGTGCTGGGGTTTGTACAGACCCGGCATATGAGAGACTGGAATATGCGGATGGTGATACGCCTGGTAGTTTAAACCCTGCCCGGGTTGCTGGACAGCTGCCGTCTTGCCGGGACCATCGCTCTCCAAGGTCTGACCGGTCTGCTGAGCTCCGGCCGGCGAAGAGGTGGAGGTCTTTGTAGACTCTTGGTGACTCATCTGCGCTTGCAAGCTGGAGCCATGGTTTTTCAGGACCGGCCTCTGCTGGGGCTTCGCGCTGCTTCTAAAGGAGTCCTCGAAGGGCCTGACGAAGGCCGGCTGGGCGACGCCAGTGGTGCCAACACTGCTGGTCGTGGTCACGCCGCCCCCCGCGGTGGTCCCGACCATGGTCCCATTGGAGCCGCCCGCGGATGCACTCAAGGTCGTGGTGGTCCCGGACTCCTTCCCTCTCCCATGTCCGTGCAAGATGGGCGGCGACTTCCGGGTGGCGGTCCCACTGGCGCTGTTGGTCATCAAGTTGGACCCATGGGTGGTTCCATGGTTGGGCATCAGGTTGGCCATACTGGAACCGCCGGCGGGGTGGGTCGAGCCGCTGGTTGTGGGGGCGATTCTCTGGTGCTGGTACACCGTGGTCACCGCGGTGGCGGCCGTGGAGGCGGCCGACGTGGAAATCATGGAGGTGGTAGAATGCTGACTAGAATGTATGGTGCTCGAGGGGACGGGGGGCAGATGGAGGGAGGGGATGGAGATGATAGGGGCGAGCGGCATGCCGAGGGCCGAGGGAGGGGGCGGGCCTATTACGCCGGCCGCTAGGGAGGGGATGGAGGAGATGGAGGGGATGGGCGGCGGGCCAATAGGGGCGCTGCTAATGGTCGGTGGTGGGGGGCCGAGACTCAGGGGCGACAGGCCTGAGCCGAGCGGTGGAGGAGGCATCGCGGAGGAGCTGACCGCGCAGATGGGCCCTGACCCCAGTGGAGGCCCCATCGGCGGCGCCGCCCCGGGGAAGGGGCCCAGTCTGGGGTGGTACATGGGTCCCGACTGGTCCCCTGACCCCGGGACTGGCCCCGACCCGGACTGCTCGTCCTTCCGCTGCTGATGCCCGTGACTCGGCGTTGCTGGACCGTTGCTGCTGCTGCTGACTCCGCTGGCGGACTCCTTCGCGCTCGTCCCTCCGCCGCTGATGCTCGGCCCGCTGTTGCTGACACTGGTGTTGCTCCCGTTCCCGGTACTGCTGGCTCGTTCTCGCTCGCGGTCTCGCTCCCGGTCGCTGTGCATCTGAGCCGCTATGGTCGGCTTCCTAGCTGGAACAAAGCCCGACACAGTGCTTGGTAACGCTACGTCATCACACTACGGGACGATACGCTGCTGGCTCCACGAGAGCGGACAGCGATTCTGAGGAGCCACGAAAAAAAGGAATCTGAGCGCGGAAAGAAAAAATCCGAAGCTCCTTTTAGCGTTAAAATACGTCTTTGAACTATTTAAAATCTATACAAGACATATTTTAACGCTGACAGTTACGCACGAGTGCGGACCTTAATTTTGGTGCTCGTTTACGTCGCAACCAATGATTAGAAAATTAATAGGGCTGTCTAATCAATTATTCGGTTGGCACGTAAGTTCGAGCCGGTAGATATTCCAAATGATGTCATAATTTTGTTTTTTATGCGAGGGATCGAAAAACTGCCTGCACGTTGGAGAGACATTACGAGGGAGAATATATGATTGATTAATGTTGGGAAATTTTAATTCTTGAGATCAACTCTTTTTTTTTTTTGTTATGCAAAACTAACGGCACGAACTTACGGGACGATCCGGTAATTCTCTGTACATTTGTAAAGTTAATGTCTCGCGGATAGAGATCATTTGCCAGCTTTTAAATAATGAAATTCTTCCCCCTGAAATAAAAAAGTCTAACCTTAATAATAAATGAAACGAGTTAGGTCGGGTCTCCCTGCGCGGTGAGATCCTCGTTCACCGAAGCGAGTGGTTTAATAATTAATTAATGGGAATATGTTGTTTTTTTTTTTTACGTAGGAAATCCGACGTCGCCGATGAACGAGGGTCAACGAGGAATAAATCATCAGTTAGAAAGTATTGGGGATGATTCCTGCGTGTTGGCACGAAAGGCTGGTTGGAGAACACGGCTCACCACCGACAGACACACTGACTGTTCGTTATTAATAATAATTGCCACCGTATCGCGAGCTCTGACAATTGACTTCGACTAATTACTCTCATTTCTTAACAGGTTGACAATAGGTAAAGACTCGAAGGATTGCCGAATCTTCCCCAAAACTGTATCCAGAAGTCGAGGGACAAGAATTCCAAGCCAGTCAGAATTTCGATCACTCTCGTTGTTGCTTTTTCTTTTTTCTTTTTTTTCATCCAATGTTTATTTTCAATTATAGTCCAAATATACACATGTTTACATAATAAATTATATAAAACGGTATAATTTTGACAAGAGAGAGATAGAGAGAGAAAGGGAGAGAAAGAGACAGAGGTAGAGTGAAAACAGGCATATATGGCAGGTTTCTATGTACACATTCGGTGGGTTCAGTCAGTGCGTGTCTTGTGTGTTAATGTGTTCTCCTATCCTACGAGTAATTAGGGATAACTCTTTTTCTATCCATCCTTCTTTCTTCCCTCATCAGGTTTCAATTAACAATTGCAGGAATCACTCGCAAGGGCGCGCCTAAAGAACAAGGACCTCGCGCGTTAACAAATCGGTCTCGTCAATTCAATTTCCACTTCCTCGAGCAACGTCAGGACTCTCGTCGGAGGGCTTTTCTCTCAGCTGCTACGAGAACGATCCGAGAGGTGCGTTAAAAATTAATAATAAAAAAAGAAACAAAAACAAGGGGGAGAGAGAGAGAAAGAGAGAGAGAGAGGAAATAATTAAGTCCTACGGGGTGAAGAACGGCGGGACCTGCACGTAACGTCTCGTCTCACTTTCATGGTTGCCTTACGCATCTACATAAAAAATTGCGTGTCAGTATGTATATATAACTTGGATATCTATTTATATATCTATATATGTACAACGAAAGGATTCGACAACGATTCAATTTTCTTTTTTTGTTCTTTTCAACTAGGAAAGAGGTGCGCCCGTGAAAACAACGCGTCAAGACACTCAACACATCCTCGAAGAGCCCCTCGTCAGGTGTCGTGCACTCTTATGGTAAATATGCGCCGCTAAAGACACCGGGCATTGTTTAAAAACGAGGTGAAAAATAACAAAAAAAAAATAAAAATAAAAAGAGAAACAAAGAAAACATCGAATGAACTAACTAAGGCAACGAGGCTCCGGCGATCCCGCACGCAGAAGGGGATTCCGATGTCAACGCGTTAAAAGGAATTTCACCCTTCTTCTCCCGTACTTCCACCTCTTTTGCACCTTCGACCTCGAACACCGGGAAAATGCAACTCGATCGGTGTTGCGGTTAAACAGTGGATGCACAGTTTCCCAGATAACGCGCGACACTCTTGGCCGAGTGCCAGGTAACGATCGCTTACATGATCTATCGTTTGATTGTACAGGACTAAAAGTAATTATGTACATGTAATTGTAAAGAGTGGAGTAAATGGCGGACTAGTGGGAAGGTCATTAAATCCCATTTTCCCGGTCTCGGATAATGGCCGATAACGAGGCTGACCGAGGCCTGCTTATCGTCGCCATCGGACAAGGTAACGATTCCGATGAGCCTGAACACCCAGCATCGAGACCATCAGAATTCGGCAAAGCGTTCCGATTTCCGGATCGAGTCGGGTGATCGAGACTAGGAGGCACTGATCGATAATATTAACTGGATAGCTGATACTTATTTCTCGTCCATACGGAAAGGTGAGGGAGAAACTCAAGGCACAGCCGGCACCTCTGAATACGTCAGAGGCATCAAAGAAGTACCGTCTACGCATGTGCAGAGGGAGCTGCAGTGCCCTGAAGTTCTTTTTCCAATAATCGTGCGGATACTCCTTTCGAAAGACGCGCCGCTGCCGACGCATGCGCGGATACTACAGTGTCTGTTGACGTGCCCGAAATCGGAGGCACGTGGTCGCTATCAATCGCCACGCCATTTTGTGGGGGGTAGCAGCTATCCGGTTAAGCTAGAGATCAGAGCTCGGAGGTCGAAGGTGCAAGGGCGAGAACCACCAGAGACTACGGGTCACAGCCCCGTTCAGGAACGAGGATCGTCCCGAAGGGCTTCGGAAGCATCCTGGGATTTGTCTCGATATTCGGGCCCCTCCTGATTTCTCACCGGAGCGATCCTCGCGCGTGCTTATCTAAACAAACCAGAATGCATTAATCCTAGATTCGATAAGAAACGATTCGCGAGTTCTATGGCTAGGGATCTCTCGTTTTACGTCTAGACTAAAATTAGAAGCGTTTCTCGTCCTGTATTCAGCGCCTGAGGGAGGTTCTCTCATTTTCGGATCGGCGGGGAAAGCCGGCGCAAGCCCACGCAAGGGTGACTCCCATCAATGGCCTTTGGCACGGTCGAGTTTGGCATTCGGTGGCTCAAGGACGAATCCCTGCGTCGATAAGCATGCGTTTAAGTCGAGACCCTGTTAGGAAGCGTTCTATGGCATGAAAACACAGAATTCTGAGGTAGGAACCCGTTAGTAGGCGGAAGGAAGAGAGAACGGAGTGGCTCGCCTTTGGCACGACCGCGTACTTCTGGGTGTAAGGTCTCCGCTTTACTTCGCCTAGTTTCTTCCGACCGACCCACTCTTCCATCGGTCCATCGCGTAAAGGAAACTAGACGCGCTCGCAAGGTTTTACTTTTCCCTCGTTCCGGCGACTCTACACTTTCTACGGTCAGGCACATAGAATTATAGTCCCAGTCAATGCCTCCGACGAACCAACGCGCCATCTTCGAAACTCCCCTATCTTCGGCGTATCGTACATATTCTCAATGTCTCTCGGACTCCCCCTGTACGCGACGTAATATTAAATCTTGTTTAAAAGGAGTCTACTCCAGCGCCACTCGGCGCGTCGGGAGCCATCTAACTCCCGAGAAGGAACTAAAGTTTCAAGATGGCCGCCGCGTCTCAAGATGGCGGACCGACCGATCGGCGTCGTCTCTTCGAGGGAGAACTCGCCCCGAATCTCGACGAAAACTCCTCGCGAGTCCCTCAATTTCGCCCTTCGCTCTTCGATCACAACTGCCTGAGGTACGTTCGAACGGGAATTCTAACCTCTAATCCGAGTCTCGGGTACGTTCCAGGGATATAAAACTCGAAGACGGACATCGAACGGTAACCTCGGTCGGGTCTTTCTCCCGAGTCCAGTCCTCGGGCTTCGAGGCTCCCTCTCTTTCTCTCTTTGACGGCGCCTCGCCATAACCTCAAAACTCTGCCCCTCTCTGTCCCTTTTCTCTCTCTCTCCGTGGCGCGAGCCGGTACGTGTCTCGCTCTCAACGGAAGGCAGTTTGAGGTGGAGCGACTCGCTCACCTGCAGTATCGGCCGATGCAGGTGCAGGTGCGCCGACCGGAGCTGCGGACGCGGAGCTCCTGGCGGCTCTTCTCCTCTCCTCCTCCTCGCGCATGGCGGCCTGCTCGCGCGCTTGCCGAAGACGGTGCTCCTCCTCCAATTTAAGCCTTGAAAAGGAACGTCTCAACATTACCACACTGTCCGGCAAGTACCGCACTACGTCACAGAGATCACGGGTACAATGAAATATCCGACAATAATCCAGGATTTCAGGACAAGGTGGTCTATCGGAACCGGAGGGGATCTTTCGTCTTTATCGCCAGCTCCCGACCGGGATCATCTCTTCGGACGAGGAGGGCTCACCTCTCGTGCATGACGGGCGGCATCAGGCCCAGCGAAGCTGGCGGCAGCATGTCCGGGCTGTATCGCAAGCCGTACAGAGGGTACGAGGGCAATCCAGGGAACAAAGGCGGTCTCAGCATTCCACACCTCTCCAAGTACAACTGTTCCTCTAACCTGGAAATTAAGGAAGGACCTTGGGATTAAATGTCCTTATCGAAGGGTAAGAGGCATTCGGAAGTGTTTCGTTGCGCCGCCGAAGGTACCCATATACTTTCATTGCTCCTTCCCTTTCTAGGTACCTCACCTATAAGCGTGCTGCAGGTGTGGCGGTGGGTAGAGACCATGATGGTAAGGACTGTAGGCCGCTGGGTCCAGGGCGAAGGCTGGAGGTGCGTGGGCAGGATGGTGCTCGGGCCGGTAAGGTTGGAACCCCGAACGAGCCAACAACTCGGACGCCGCCGCCGTGACGCTGTGTTTGCTGCTCTCGGTCGGTCTAGCAGTCGTGTACAAGGACGGGATCTCCTCGGGCCGTCTCTCGTGCGTCGATCTCTCCTGGAAGACGGAAAAACGATCCCGATCAGCATCGCCGACGCCTCATGGACGGAACTTCGATAAAAAGAAATTCACTCCTCTTGGAAAATGATTTAAATCCCCAAAAAATCAGGACTTAACAAAATCAATTCCATCATTAGAATAGAAGTCTCGTTAAAAAAATTACGATAAGCCCAGCAGGGTACATAAAAATCATGACTTCCGGTGGAAAATGACAAATCGTCGATTCCAATAAATTCGACAGCGTCAATGGAAAATCCTGATTTTAAGGGTGGAAATTAGTCGATCGACGTCGAGTTCATAATTATTATATACATAATATTAGTTCGCCGAGGACATAATTTAGGTTTCACCCGGTTTCCCCGTCAAAGCCACGTACGCGCAAACCAGTAGTTGCCGTTACCCCATTAGTTCTCCTCGCACTAATTAGCAAGCAGTTTGCGAGCAATGGAGAGCAAACAGTCGGTTCTACGTACGTGGCGTTGCATTAAACCGGCGGCCCGTTAACCGGGAAAGTGCGCCCTCATCTAACTCCCTTGTTTCGGAGTTTTCGCCCGAGAATTCCCGGCCGAGGGAGTTTCCTCTTTTGATCAATTTCCCGCTCGAGTCGTCCTCTCACCTTAGCTGGGGAGGGTCCTCTGACCAGAGGTGGGGGCGCCCTGGTTTTCGGACTGGCGCGGGGCTCCTCTTCCTGAGGAGCCGGTCCCGCCTGTTTGGCCAGGTTCCTCAGGGCTGCTGCGAAGCTTCTGCTGTTCTGCTGGCCTCCAGGACCCGGTCCCGGGGTATGGCCCTGGGGTAAAACGCCGGTACTGGGTCTGTGAGACTTGCCGATCGAGCTCGGCTGCGCTTTGGTACTGGCTGGCTGGAGACCTGGAGGAAAAACGATATTCGATCATCTTTATGATCATTCTATCGACAGGGCGAAAATCGGGCCCCGATAACGCGCCCATGGACCGTCAAGCCGTTCCGCGAATATCCGGGATTTTTCTAGGAATTATCTATAATACATAAATATTTGTATCAATGGCGTGAGACCCCTTCGAGGAGGGAATTTCTGTAAAGCAGGAATTTATGAACGTTTTGGAGATGTTATGAATTAATTTTAGAATCGGGAAATGCTTTTTTTTCATCAGGTTGATCTACGTCTCGAGAGACCTCGAGTAGAAGGGGGGGAATTAATCCGGGAGACGAGGAAGGTCCCGGAAAAGACGGATTCCCCTGGACGGGAAAGTCGCTCTCGAGAGGGAGAGGGAGTCTCCTCGAAGCTTCGGAGTTCTTTTCCCGGGTGAGAAAGCACGTCCCCTCGGCAGAGGACAGATCCTATCCCGAGGGAAGTGCTCGGGAAACGACTTCGAGATCGATCGCCATTGGCCTTCCCCCAGGAGCGTTTCTTGGCTCCTCTTCCTCTCGAAGGACCTCGTCGACGAGGAAGAAAAACGGATAGAGGGGGAGGGAAGGAGGCAAAAAGGAGTCTGAAAAATCGAGAAGAGAGAGAGAGAGAGGGGATCGATAGGCCACCGGAAGCAAGAGCAAGGCACCGTTTCTTCGTCGAGTACTGGGAATCCACCCTAACCCCGAGGCGATTCCAAAATTCATATTTAAATCCCGGTTTTCTCGATATCCTTCCTCTCCCTCCCTCCATTCCGGCAGATCTCGAGGAGGGACTGAAAGGGCAGAAAATCTCCAGGGGAGGTAAACCTGTCGCGAGGGTCCTTTCTTCCCCTGGTGTCTTTTTCTCGTCCCTCGTCTTGCCGGAAAAGAACCCGCTGACCAGCCTTGGGGCGGAACGCGGGGGAGGAAAGTGGGAAAAAGCGAGGACAAATGAAAAGAAATGCCATCCTGGAGTGGAGCACTTTAGGGATGGTCCTTGCGAGCCTGCCGGCTGGGATATCCGGCCTTAGTCTTGGCTGGCACTCTCCTGATGAGGAATTGAACGGAGGGTGGAGGAGCCTCCCTTCGGGATCGAGACCGGAGGAAGGGTTGCTCCCTCCCCCTCCTGTTATTTTTTCCTCTTAACCGGAGGGCTCGCCAGGGGTATATGGACCGGAACAAAGGACGACGTCTTACCCTGCCCTCAAAAAGGACACGTCTCTCCCCTCTCGTATCTTTGCGATCATCCCTTAACCGGGACTAAATTCCAGGTCGGAGTAAGACGTCGTCCAGGGGTTCGTTTTTTTCCCCCGAACCTTAAATCCTTTACCTGTCTCCTAAGGGCTATTTCCAATTCTTCAAAATTAACATTTCCATTCTGGATTTATTGAAAGAAAAAATCTACGTGGAAAATCACGATCAATCGGAATTTCTGCAGAATCGAGCGAATCGGGGATGCTCGAAATTCCAGATTCGGTCCTCTAACTTCCTTTTTGAAAATGTATACCGAAAATCACGGCGAACCGAAATTATTTTCCAAGACCGGGGGGAGGGGTGGGGGTGGGTGGGGCGATATTAAATCGCCCCCGCGGAATCGGGGATGCGGCGCGCATTTACGGGGGTGGCGGATATACCGCGAGGTGGATTTCCGACAGGCGAGGGAAAAGGAAGAAAAGGCCGGCGGGAGGAAAAAAGGCGGGATGAGAAGTGGAGGCAAAAAGAGGGGAGGGCGCGGGAGAGGCGCCGATCATCCAAGATGGATGAGAGGGTAGCGTCGAGAGGGTAGTTTGTAAAAAAGGTGCCGAGATCCGGAAGCCCGGGAGGGGGCGGGAGTTGACTCGGTCGGTAAAAGAGAGGGTTGCGAGCTCGCTAAGCGGCTTACAGTCTGTTACCATGGTAACCCCGTACCGCTAAGACACCCCCTCTGAGCCGCGGAATCCGCAACCTCCGACGCGGCGGGACCTCCCCCCCTGCGGTTTTCTATCCCACCCTCCCCCCGACATATCGGCGACTTTGGGGGGAGATTATGCGCTAACTTGGTTTTTACACCTCGGGGTAGCCTACCGAGTATTCAGTTTTCATGGTTTTTCTCGTTTTCCTCGTTTAAAAATTCAAACTCACGCCAGAGAGCGGAAGTTTTTAAAAATTGAAATCCATGCTAGGAAGCTGGAAGTTCAATTATTAAAAATTGAAATCCATGCTAGGAAGCTGGAATTACAATTTTTAAAAATTGAAATTCATGCCAGGAAGCTGGAATTTCAATTTTTTTTAAATTGAAATTCATGCCAGGAAGCTGGAATGTCAATTTTTTTTTAAATCGAAATTCATGCTGGGAAACTGGAATTTCAATTTTCAAATCCCCTCGGGGGTCGAGAGTCGAGGTCCTAGCACCTCGCGGACGTTTCCGGGGGCGTAGAGATCGGATTCTCGAGGGGGCGCGAAGAGTCAGAAAGGGGTGAAAGGGTTGAAGGGGACCCGCGGTATCGCGGCTCGATTCAGCCGACTCCTTGGCGTGCCCTGCCCGGTCGAGCGGTGGAATGTAAGGCGGAAAGACCGGAGGGCGGTTTCCGCCGATGCGAAAGTCAGCCCCCTCGAGGGCCCTCCGGAGCAACCCTCACGGCCTGTCTAGGGCGCCTCGACTGAATGCACTCCCCGGACGCCATCTTGCCTCCACCCTCGACGAGCCCCGGCTTTGCAACCTCCGTCCCTTAGGATTTTTTTCTCGCGACACCCCCCCCCAAAAAAAAAAGAAAGAAAAAAAAAGAAGGGCCCAAGCCACGTAAAATTAAATGCGCCTCGAAACGGCACCGATTTTCTAGGGTATCAGAATTTCCTTTATACCGGAAATGTTGAAGGAAAATTCAAAAGGAAAATTCCTTCCCTCGGGAATTTTTCAATTCTTTCGGAAAATCAGGAGCCAATTGCCAGGAAGGGGAGGGAAAAGAAGGGCGAAGGGCTTACCCCGATTCCTCAATTTCGGCTCTCGCCCCCGTGATTCCCTTTTCCAATCTCGCCGGGGTATCCTCCAGGAGCCCGGGGGGAAGGGGGAGGCGTTTCGGGGAGCACCCCTTTCTCGGCCGCCGCCGGAAACGGAGTGCATGCATATGTATGCAATCTGCATCCGTGCTTTTCCTAGGGAGAGCTCATGCATACGGGTCGTGTCATCCGACGCAGGGGTTGGGGGTTGGCGGCCTCCCTTTGACTTTTTCCCGACCCCCGCGAATCCCGAAAAGGTCCACGGAGCCGCGGACCCCCGGGAGGTTGGGGGCAAAGGGGGTTTATAAAGCCGCGCAAAGTCAGAGCCTCGGAGGGCTGGAAAAGCCCCCTGGGGGGAGGGGGGGNGGGTGGAGGGGCGGCGGCGAAAGATTGAAATCCTAAAATACGCGAGTTTACACCCCGGGAATTTCCGAGTCCCATAAATCCCCGGCAATATGCATACATTAGAGGGGCGGTTCCTGCTTTACCGACCGCGCACCCCCGCAGGGACACCCTCGGGAGCAAATGGCGCCGGAAACCCGAGGGTATCTTGCGCATCGAGTACACGTATAATGTATATATAGAGGCAGATATATCTACAGGGTGGAACGGAACTCGTGCCCGCGGTTTACGAGGACTATCCTCGTTGAAAATCGAGCCGAAAAGTCCCGCACGGGTATTCCCTACGACGCGTACTTCGTCCCTAATAATTAATTGAAAAATCGTCGAGGGGAATATCGCGCAGGTCTCCGCCCCCTCTAACGAGGGGTTCTTTCTCCCCTTTTCGACGGTACTTTTTCTTTCTTTCTTTCTTTCTTTTTTCTTCTTTTTTTTTTTTTTCCCTCCCTCAGATTACATCTCCGCGCCGTCGGGTCGGGGGTAAGTCCCTCGCCCTTCGGGGCCGTCTTCCGCGCATTGATTTTTCGCGAGGGACGCGACCTCCCTTTCTCGAGGGGGGGTGTGTCAAGGAGTCGGGGACATAAATCGGAGAAAAGGTTGCCGGAGGGACGAAGGGTCCACCCCTTGCTTTTCGTGTCTCGTTCCTCGTCGATACGTCACTCGCCGGAAGGGTTGATCGCTACCCTCGCATGGCTTCTCTCGTCCCACCCGGCCCTTAGGCCATCTTCAATTTCATTTGCATCCCCCTTTGAAATTCCAAAATTATTCCCCCTTATTCTTCCCTCACAAATACCACCAGCAATAACCACTCGATTTTCAATCCCCTTTTGCGACACCCCTGGGTCTCCTATTTTTCTATCTTACACGGTGAATATACATACAAAACAAACGAACTCATTGAAATCCATGAAAATCAAAGTTTTCCGGGAAATGGTTTTTTTAATTTTTTTTTTTTAATGTATTGGAATTACTAAAACGCTTTGAAAAAAAAAAAAAACATTAAAGGTAAATCATCGGAACAAAGATACCGGGTAAATGTGGAAACCGCGCAGAAAAGGTGCCGGGTGAAAATGTCCGGGTGAACGCAAAAAAAAAAATATTGCGGGGATTTTCCGCCAGCAGATCCCACGTAATAATTCCTGACGTCCAGGTAATATTCCGGGATAATTCCGATTATATCCCACGGGTGTCCTTCGCATCCCCACTATTACTTCCCCCCCTTTTCTTCTTCCTTTTTTTTCGTTTCTAAGGACGCCACCACCCCGGTGGGCAAACATGGCGGCCAAGGACGAGCTCGCATCCCCCATTTTGACTTTTCCACCCTTCATCAGCGGCTCCACCGCCGTCGGGATGCTCTCAATGGGGCTCTCCCCCCGGTGGCGGCCATTTTTCAACCCCCTTAAATTAACGCGTAATTACGCCACCCTTCGCCTCGGCCCCCCCCCCGGCTGGGGGGAGGGTGCGCACGCAAATCCGCCCGAGGGTTGCTTCTGGGTATTTTTCGTTCCTTCCCTTTCGCACCCCCAGGATCCATCATGCAAATGAAAATCGCTCGCAAATGTTGGGGCACCCGGCACGGGGGGGGGGCTATTTAAATAGAATCGACCGAATCCGATCGCGACTGA